ATTGTTTTATTTTCAATTAGATCGTCATCAGGTTCTACTCTCTAATGTACATGAATATTTATAATGAAAATGTTAAACCAATCAAGACAATTCATGAGTTGATATTCACAATGAAAAAGATTACGTAACTACGGTTAATAGTTAAAAAATTGCAAGTAGGCAATAGGAAAACAGGTGTACTGTTAGTGGTACGTGTGACATAACATAACACACAATAACAAACATTTTTGTCAACAGTTCAACATCAGAAGAAGCAGTAAATAAACGTGGATAAATCGACTGAAAATAATCATCACAGAGCATTGTAACGATTAGGCAATAAGAAGTGCATGAATAATTAGATAGTGAAGAATATCGACAGAGTGAGACGGGAAAAATTACAAACAAATACAGGAAGTGAAAATAATGTTAATTATAATTTTTTAGAAAAAGTTTTACAATCGTTTATTAAGTCAGTTTCTGGCAAAGGAAGGAACAGGGATGTCACGAATTTCTTCTGATCATATTGTGGTGCTGTGGTGCGAACTACTTATAAGTAGTATATAACGTGAGTGTCAACGTAAAGTCTGGTAGCATAATATGGGGGGAAGATCAAGAAAGGAAGAGTCAGAAAACAATGGAATTTGTATGAAACGCATGAAGAGTGACAATGGATTGATGTTTTGCAACAGGAACAGTCCAGTTCGATATGATGAACTGATATTTTGCAAATGAACGATTTACGATATGGTTTTCCGATTTTACTGAGTAACACTGCAATTTTCGTTAAATACAATTCGCTTGCCCCACCTGTGTTCTCATTCAATACAATATAACTGGGGTTGAATGTACGAATTTCTATCGCTTCCGCTATATGTAGAAGACGGGATTGAACTCCTTCGGGAAATGATGGAGTTCCACGATAGATCACTAGAAATGAGTCACACTTACCTGCATTACGATCGCTGTCAATCAGATGTGCTAAGAGTGAGCTGCTCATCATTTTTATCTGGACGTTTCTAAATTATACTGAGAGAGGTCCACTCATTCGTTGATAAAGTTGCCTGATAGTACATACAATATAACTATCTCCACAGGAGCAACTGAGAGAGAATGAAACAAATTCGTTTAGACGTAACTAGAAATCTCAAAAGTATCTAGTTGGCTCGTAAGTTAATTTTCTCGAGGCTCTGATGGTCGAATTGTATCCCCAAGATGAACCGCGAGTTACACAGAAATCGACAGCACATTCTTGTGACAATGATAGGCCACAGTTTGGTATTGCCTTCTGTTGATATATCAATAAAATGTTTGAGTTAAGAAGTGTCAAGTTTATGATAAGTTTTATATACACAGTGAAGAACATTTGCCTGATGGCTTTGTGGAACAATATGACATTTACTAAAATCAATTGTATCTGTATATAAGCCGAACTAACCTTGCTAACATTCACAAATCTTTTTCTAGACTTTATTCAATAATTTCTTCCATTATTCTGATTCCATCTGGGTGTATAGAAAGTAACTTTTTGCTAATCTGATCAGCTTGGAGGAGAATTTCCCTTATCATCTGATACTTAATATCGATTGTTAACTAATTCAGGAGACGTTTATAAATTTTGTAGTAAACCTTTTGAACAAAGATCAAACTGTAGAACATCGAGGCAGCATCCACGGACCTCCCAATTAATATTGGCGCACCTACGATTGAGGAGATCCGCATGGCCATCAGACAAATCAAGAGCGGCAAATCAGCAGGACCAGACAACATTCCAGCACAGGCAATGAAAGCAGATGTAGAAGCAACTGCGAAAATATTTCATATCCTCTTCAAAAAGATTTGGGATGAGGAACAAGTACCATCAGATTGGAAAGAAGGATACCTCATCAAAATACCAAAGAAAGGCGATCTCAGCAAATGTGAGAACTACAGAGGCATCACTCTTCTTTCAATACCAGGCAAAGTCTTCAACAGGGTATTGTTAAACAGAATGAAGGACTTCGTAGACGCTCAAGTTCGAGATCAACAGGCCGGATTTCGTAAGGATCGATCGTGTACTGACCAAATTGCTGCATTACGGATCATCGTGGAACAATCAATTGAATGGAACTCACCACTCTACATCAACTTCATCGACTACGAGAAGGCATTTGATAGCGTGGACAGGAAAACACTGTGGAGGCTTCTTCGACACTTCGGTGTGCCTGAGAAATAGTCAACATCATACGGAATTCTTATGATGGATTCAACTGCAAAATCGTACACGGAGGTCAGCTGACAAACTCTTTCGAGGCGAAGACCGGTGTCAGGCAAGGTTGCTTACTCTCACCCTTTCTCTTTCTCCTGGTCATCGACTGGAATACGAAGACGTCAAAATCTGGAGGGAAACACGGTATTCAGTGGACAGTTAGGACGCAGATGGACGAACTGAACTTCGCAGATGATCTGTCTGTTCTATATCCCACACAACAACAAATGCAAGTGAAGACGACCAGTGTAGCAGCAGCCTCTGCAGCAGCAGTAGGTCTCAACATAAATAAAGGAAAAAGCAAAATTCTCCGATGCAACACAACATGCACCAACCAAATCACGCTTGATGGAGATGCTTTCGAGGACGTTAACAACTTTACATATCTTGGCAGCATCATCGACGAGAAAGGTGGATTGGATGCTGATGTGCGGCTGCGGATTGGCAAAGCAAGGGCTGCATTTCTACAGTTGAAAAATATCTGCAACTCCAAACAACCAACCAACCAAAACCAAAATCAGGATTTTCAATACAAATGTGAAGACAGTTCTACTGTATGGAGCGGAAACCTGGAGAACTACGAAAGCCATCATCCAGAAGATACAAGTGTTTGTTAACAGTTGTCTACGCAAAATACTTCGGATTCGTTGACAAGACACCATCAGCAACAACGTACTATGGGAGAGAACGAACTAGATTCCAGTGGAGGAGGAAATCAGGAAGCAGCGGTGGAAGTGGATAGGACACACATTGCGGAAAGCATCCAACTGCGTCACAAGACAAGCCCTCACATGGAACCCTCAAGGCAAAAGGAAAAGAGGAAGGTCAAGGAACACATTACGCCGAGAAATAGAGAAAGATATGAGAGGAATGAACAAACATTGGACAGAACTGGAGAGGGAAGCCCAGGACAGAGTTAGTTGGAGAATGTTGGTCGGCGGTCTACTCTCCATTGGGTGTAACAGGCGTAAGTAAGTACAATAAGCCATCAAAAAATTCCATATTTCTCAAGCAAAACAGCACTACAAATGAAGAATCATGTAATTTGTTAACAACATCAGATGTAATCAGTAGTATGATTATCTAGACAGTTAAAAAAAATTGGACACAATCAAAATTTTGTTAAGATGAGCAATGGAAAAGAAACTATTCAATAATCAGTCTTTTCTACTATTCTACGTCATTTTTAATAAATTCTCTCAAAAATCCTGTTTAGTAGAGCAGATTTCAGTTCAATACAACACTATACTTCATTTCATAATATCACTTTTATGAAAACTGGACAAACTATACATTCAGTTACAGCATTAGAAAGGTTAAATTCTTGCTTTTAAGAACTTTCAATTCAAATAAGCTTTATTACATAAGTCCTACTGTGGTGCTGTGGTGCGAACTACTTATAAGTAGTATATAGCGTGAGTGTCAACGTAAAGTCTGGCAGCAGAAGATGGGGGCAAGATCAAGAAAGGAAGAGTCAGAAAACAATGGAATTTGTATGAAACGCATGAAGAGTGACAATGGATTGATGTTTGGCAACAGGAACAGTCCAGTTCGATATGATGAACTGATCTTTTGCAAATGAACGATTTACGATATGGTTTTCCGATTTTACTGAGTAACTCTGTAATTTTCGTTAAATACAATTCGGTTGCCCCACCTGTGTTCTCATTCACTACATTTGGTGTCGCTGCCTGCTCGGAGGAAGGGGCTCCCGTGGCCGAAGGAGTTGCAGGACGGAGATTGGCGGAGCTTCCTGGAGGAGTTTGGGGCCACGGTGGAGCTGGTGGGGGCTTGGGGCGGAGTTGACGGTGCTGGGGACGCTGCGGGGAGGTGAGGCGAAGGCGGCACACGACAGCCTGGACGGTGCCACCGAGGAGATGGCGTGGGAGACGGTCACCGGGCGGCTGATAATGGAGTTCGACAGCCCAGCGGACAGGTAGGGGGCGCCGCAGAGGTTCCGGTTGGCGCGGCTGTCGGCCGATGGTGACCTGTTGGTGCTTGCTGTGGAGCTCACCGGATTGCGCCGTGAGGAGTGGGCGGGGCACAGTCTTTGGTGTCGCAATTTATCGAGTGGGTGCCTGCCGCCGTGTTCCAGCATCGACAACTTGTAAACGCTACACGTTGGATAGATGCCGTATCCATTCCAGACCAGTGATCAAGAACGATGACCGAAGTGGTAATCCGGCATATTGTAGCGTGTCACGGAATACGGAAGGTGATATTAACTGACCAGGGGCTCTGTTTTGAAGGACTACGACGACAGCTGATTAAAAGGGGGGACGAGTGTGGTGCTGTGGTGCGAACTACTTATAAGTAGTATATAGCGTGAGTGTCAACGTAAAGTCTGGTAGCATAATATGGGGGGAAGATCAAGAAAGGAAGAGTCAGAAAACAATGGAATTTGTATGAAACGCATGAAGAGTGACAATGGATTGATGTTTTGCAACAGGAACAGTCCAGTTCGATATGATGAACTGATATTTTGCAAATGAACGATTTACGATATGGTTTTCCGATTTTACTGAGTAACTCTGTAATTTTCGTTAAATACAATTCGGTTGCCCCACCTGTGTTCTCATTCACTACACTACTATACAAAACTGCTCTCATTTTTCGCTGAGATCAATGTTCAATTTTCTGACTTTTATGAATTTATACTAATTGTTCTGATCTATCTATCATAAATTTAATAAAACTGTTCATACAAATGATTTTTGAAAAATTTAGAAATGATTTTTTTTAAAAATATATTGCAAACAACAATATACAATGAGTAGTTTTGAACAAGAAAAAAAATAGTACATTTTTTAACTACTGTTCAATAGTGAAGGACGCAAAAACAAACACACAAACCAGTTATTAGTTATCAGTTATTGTATATTTAATTTTTAACAAAATAAATAAAGGAATAAAAAAGAAATGAATTATGAAAGATAACCAAAATATGGTAGAATATAATTCTTTAAAGTATACTAATTTGTCCGATTCTATTGGTCTATAAACAGCACAATCTAATGGAGATAAACGATTATGCACATGATGTTCAATATTGATGATGCGTTTTCGATACTTTCTCATTGATAATGATGATCTTGATGCTGATGAGGATAAAAATTTGAAAGTTTCTTCACTCCATCGTTTTAATCCATTCACTTTGGATATAGGTATACTTGGATTGTGTGTATACGAGTTGCATGGTGAATTAGTGAAACCAATCTAGAAATGTTTATAAAAAACCAATATTTTAGGCCTAAAATATGTTAAAAGTGAATACAGAGATTTTGTGTGAGTTATGGAATACGAAGTAATGTTATGAGTTTTGTGGGGGAAAAATCTTTTGCGTTGTGTCATTACGATTGGATGTTTCTGAGGGAGTTGGGATCGTTATACTTAAAAATGTAGTTTACATATAACTATATATGAAATAGTCATCAGTGAGTCAGTCAGATGCAACGTAGAACTTCGTACGTAAGTACATCAGTTCATGTCGCCATACCACATCTGCACAGAGATGTAATTGTCAATTCAAATCCAATAGTAGAAGAGGTAGTAGAGGTATTAGAAGTAATCGTAGACGTTAGAATAATAATATATTATTCGCGAAGTATGATTCAATGAGATAAGTTTAGAAAGTAAAAGCTAGAGGTGTTGAAGAACTCAGAAGATTAGGATTTGAGATAACACAAAGAATAAATGCACCGGCACCATTGCGAACGATTTTGAGCCATATCATTCAAGGTCTCTAACGATCGATTATTATCATCTCGCGGACCCCAACCAGGTAGTAGTCGACAATTACCGACATAGCTAAGTCCACTCGTCAATGACTTCATGGATTTCTGTCATGTTTTGGTTTGGCCGTCCCTAACTTTCTTCCAACCTTTTCCTACACTACAAAACAAAGCTCATCGCGGCAGTCGATGGTTTAAGTGATGAAATAATCATCACTTAAACTTGATTAAAATATTTATCGATCAGTGTTAGAGCATCATTATAAACCTAGAAGAACTGGATGGCTGTTTTGTCCCTAATATAGGACTCATCAGCAGTGGATGTCGACGACCTCTCAGGATGGAACTGAACCCAAGACCTTCTGACGCTTAACCTCTAGACTACTAAGCGGATACTTAGTGATGTTAATGTTTAACTTACCACTATACTAGTGTGGTGCGAGCTACTTATAAGTAGTATATGACGTGAGTGTCAACGTAATGTCTGGCAGCAGAAGATGGGGGCAAGATCAAGAAACGAAGAGTTAGAAGAACACAATGGAATTTGTATGAAACGCATGAATAGTGAGTGACAATGGATTGATGTTTTTTGCAACAGGAACAGTCCAGTTCAATATGATGAACTGATATTTTGCAAATTAAAACGATTTACGATATGGTTTTTTTATTTTACTGAGTAACTCTGTAATTTTTGCTTCCTGGTTTCTAAAGATTTCTCTAACATTGATTGATTCACGATTACAATGAAACTTAACCAACTTTGTTTGCATAATTGGCGTTGTTATATTTAACCCAGGATAAACTTTAGCCATGTGATATAAATATCTTTCTTAATGAAATGCAACCAGAGTAGCTACATTGTAACTTATTTGTTTAAACATGATGGTATAAATAAACATTCTTTATCTTTCCCTCATTTAGAGTGTGATGGAGATGGAAGTTTTTTTCGTTGAAATCATAAACGAATCGTTGTTAGATCAACATTAGAAACCTAGAAACCGTTTTGTTCTACTATGGGACCAATCAACAGCGCGCATCCAGGTTTCTAATGGTCATTTAACAATAGAAATAATACAATGTGCTGACTGGTGATGAAATTCTTAGAGTTTTTGTGAGAAGACATGATCAATAGAAGAGTTCAACCCTGTGTAGGGTGTAGGCACCAACTATTTAAGACAAATGGATGAGGTCACGCAAATATCCTTAAATAGACACGGGGTTAGACATTAATTAACACCGTTAGGTGCCGGCCAAGTGATCCAGAGTTTAGGCGTTCGTGAGCAAGACCTGCAAGGTCCTGGATTCGCTTCCTGCAAGTGGATGTGCACTGATGGTGTGTCTGCAGGACGAAACAGCTGTCTAGTGCTTTCAATTCCTTGTGGTGGTCTAACAATGATTCATTGATTAGTACGGACAGTATGGACAAGATTGTCAGTTTAAACACTGAAATTATTTTGACATGCGAGTATCATGTGTAAGTCTATTGATCATGATGTTTTAACTTTTAATTTCCTAAGAATTAGAATAAATTACTTTTCTTCTAAAACCTTCTCATTCATTCATTACATCCCATTTCTATTGAATAAAATTTGGAATTGTTTTTACACTTTAATTTGAAACACAACTCCAACTTTGACAATCATTCCAAAATTGATCTAGTGTAATATCAATACTCAAAGCATGGTATGTGTAAAATATACATACATAATAATTTGCATTACGGGGTTGTGAAGATTGTTAACTTACACAATTTTTGAAATCATGAATCGATCAATGTTAGACCACCACCATTAGAAACCTGTAAGCACTGAATGACGGCCGTTTCGTCCTGGTATGGGACTCACCAGTGGCAGTGCGCATCCACGACTCCTGCACCCCGCAGGATTCGAACCCAGGACGTTCGGTATAGTGCGCGAACGCCCTAACCGTCAGACCACTGAGCCGGTACCTAACGGTGTTAATGTCTAACTTGATCAAATTCACGGAGTTGCGCAATCTCATACATAGTCTTCGGTAGATACTGCCTACACCCGAACAGGTTGAACTTCACTGGTCACATCTTCCCACTTTCTAGAACTGGGAGAAGATTACTGACGAAGCTAGTCACTAGTGAGCACAGGTAATTAGCATTACGGGGTTGTGAAGATTGTTAAGTTACACAATTCATTCAATTATATAGATGAACCCTCTATTTTCAATGCCAATCATACATTGGTTTATAGGAGAACCAAGGAGACTGCTCACATGTTAGCATTTCAACATGAATAGTTCGGCTGAATGTCGTGGTACAACCACACTAACATCATAATAAAATATCCGTTTTTATCCTTAATACCTAGAAATGCTTTTTTTACATATTGAAATCATCAATCAATCATTGTTACACCTATGACATTAGAAACCTTGAAGCACTGGACTACGGCCGTTTCATCCTGGTAAGGGAATAATCAGTAGTGTGCATCCATAATTCAAGCTACTTGAATACCTAACATCTGGACCATTGAGCTAGCATTGAACGGCGTTCATGTCGAACTGTGATTAGTATAGAGATTTTTCGCCACCTCACCGGTGACCATCTGCTAATAATCCCCTTAGGATCATCGGGCTCATATGCCTGATTTTTTCTGGAACTAGGGTTTTCCAGCACCCCTACATAGATTCTCCATACTCACTGGTCCGTTTAAATCGTTGGGCATCCGCTTTTGGTTCTTTCGATTCAGTAAACAACATCCATGCCAGATAGAGAAGTCAAATAGAGTTTCCTGACATTGGCTATATAAGTAAGCATGGTCGTATGAAAGGATTTGGAAAGAAAGACAGCAAACTCCTAAATTCCATCCTTATCTACTCTTCAAAATGTAACCAACTTATAGCAGCAAAGTGCCAAATCAAAACATTCACTGTTGTAATGACAGTGTTATTTCATCAAAAACACTAGATTAAACTATCTTCATTAACTATTATTGACAAGATATAATCTAATCACACACAATAAATAATAAATAGTTATCGATTATACTACTAATAAATAAATTAAGTAATATTATTTGCACCTGCATCGTTTCTTGATCAAATATAGTATAATAAGCTTCAAGAAATATTGAACCTAATATTGTATGTTTATGAGTTGATTGTATGGCAAATGCAAAACAATCTTTACTTTGATTCTTTTGATTAATTCGACCAAGATATCGTATATATTGCTGAAAATGTCAAGAAAAAAACAAGAAATGTTTATCTATTAACACACATATATAATACTACTAAAATATAAAATCAATAGCTGATTCGATTTGATTCATTATTATACAGAGAGATTTTGTGTGATTGATTGACAATCTTATATTTATGTATTAGTTGGAAAATACTACTGTTGTGGTGCGAGCTACTTATGAGTAGTATATGACGTGAGTGAATGTCAACGTAATGTCTGGTGGCAGCAGAAGATGGGGGAAGATCAAGAAAGTAAGAATTAGAAAACAATGGAATTTGTATGAAACGCATGAATACAATTTGGTTGCCCCACCTGTGTTCTCCTTCAGTACAATACTAATGTGAATATCATCAAGTGATTAAGGTTGTCTCTCTCTCTCTCACACACACTTTCTTTCTCTATACACTTAGACGTAGTATGTTAACTTGAACTAACTTAGCTAGTCATTCATTATAAAGCTGTGGATTGTTGAGTTACTTGTTGAAATCATCAATTAATCATTGTTAGACAACCATTAAAAATTCGGAAGCGCTGGCTGGTCATTTCTTCTTAGTATGCGACTCATTAGCAGTGCGCATCCACGACCTCCGCTCCTAAGAGTCGAACTGTTAGGATATTCACCAAATATCCTAAGAGAATCATTTGTAAGTCTGAATCTATTGGTCAATTACTATTGTGAAACCAATCAAGGCAATTTGAGTGATAATCACAATGAAATGAAATAGAGATTACGTCACTACATATATTATAGGCAGAAGTACAGGTGGATAGTAAGAAGACAGGTGCACTTACTGTAGTAGTCTACCTAAACCACGGATAAGTTAACTGAGTTAGCCTACTCTATGTGCATTTACAAATTCAGCTGCTCCTGTGGAGATGATAGCTATATCGGGCGTACTACCAGGCGACTAACCCAATGAATGAGTGAACATCGCACGGAATGGTTTATGAAGGGTCAGTCAAAAATAATACGCAGTTCGATCTTAGCACACCTGGTAGGATAGTGGTCACATTGTAGATAAATCTAGATATTTTCGGGTGATCTATTGTATACTTCCATCATTTGCCAACGGAGTTCGCTGCCGTCTCCTACACATAGGAGAAGCCATGGGAATACGTACATTCAACCGCAATTTATGTGTTCCGAATAAATTCGTGACACCCCTATTTCTCCCGCGGCTGGATATCACGTGACTAACGATTGACATTATTTTTTTTACTTATTATTTTTAACACATTTGCTTATTACGTAATGGTTTTGATGTGCTATGATGATTATTTGAAGTCTATTCATCCACCATTGACCTACTATTGATAAACCTTTAGTTATCATATTTTATAATTTTACTACTACTATCAGTACACCTGTCTTCCTACTATTCACTTGTACTTTTGCCTTTTTCATTTCATTGTGATTATCATTGATGTATATATAAGAGAGTAAAGCAGCCGAATGACAATCTAATCGAAAACAACAACAATATTGTTCGCTTTTTATCTGTGTTGTTCTAATTTTCACAATGGGAATCTTTAAATTATTGATTGATAAAATAAAATCTTTGAACAAAGAAGAAAAATAAAAATATTCAATGTTCATTCTTTAATCAATCATTCAAAAATGCTTTATATTGGTCACAGGGTGTTTTGCATTGCTATATTTATTGATCGGATTTAAGAAATGAACAAAATATATGGCCAATTAATCCCGTGATCATATATACAAAAGGAATATGTTGATTTTTATTTGCTTAACTAAACTAATTTATTATCATAATGTACTAAAAGAGGAAGTTGTAATTCTATCGTTGGATAGTTTATTGCTTTATTTTCTTGTGAGGAATTTATCTTTATTACTGTATAATAAATATACTTTTGAATAAAGAAGGAAATTTTTGTACAGAGGTTTTTTCTCGGGTTCATTTTAATTATTCGTTTTCATTATAAACTGATATTAGAAAAAAAAGGTTATGATCGAACAATAGATTAGTTAGTATTCACAAGTTTTCATTAATTTTCCAATTAAAGTTATGAAGATTAGTGTTTTTACCACATTTGAAATCATCAATCAATCATTGTTAGACCACTATTAGAATCCGGGAAGCACTGGACCGCCGTTTCGTCCTGGTATGAGACTAACTCATCAGCAGTGCGTATCCACAACTCCTGTTACTCACACGATTCGAACCTAGGACCTTCAGGTCTTGCCCGCGAACGCCTTACGTCTCGACCGTTGGGTCGGCATCCAACTCTGTGAATGTCTAACTCTGACTGATCTAGAGATTCTGCGCGACCTCACTCATTTGTCTTTCTTTGGTAGTTACTGCCTACACCCGACACAGGGTTGAACTTCACTGGTCACGTGTCCTCAAAAGAAATCCGAGAATTTTCTCACGAAGCTAGTCACTACTGAGCGCATTTTACGATTTTCAATTAGAGTTTTGGAGATTAGTGTTTTCACACATTGAAATCACTAATTCTTTAGTTAACGATAAAAAAGAATTAGTCATTGAAATCGATGACTTAAAGACTTCATGGTAGTCAACAACTTCGATGATTGTTATGTTTTAGCAACGAACCAAAGCACAGTTGATCGGGAGGCTTTGAAAGATAAGGAAACCTTTACATAGCTATCTGAGAAGCATAACTGATGAGCTACGTGGATCTGATAAAGATTTTTGGGGGCACGGAGTGGCAGAGCAAGGGCAACATTTCTTCTATTGTAGAACATTTGAAACTCACAACAACTGTCAACCAACACTAAAGTTACGATATTTTTCTTCACAAATGTCAAAACAGTTTTAATGTATGGACTGGAAAGCTGGAGAACAATGAAACCAATCATCCAGATGATTTCGTTGTTGATCAAAAACTTTCCGCACAAAGGACTTCGGATCTGTTGGCCAGATACCATCAGCAAAAACTCAGTGCGGGAGAGAACAAAGGAATCAAGCACAAGCAGTGGAAGCGGATAGGGCACACATTGAGGAAAGCACCCAACTGCGTTACAAGACATTCCCTCACTTGGAATCATCAAGGCTCAGGGAAAACAAGAATACCAAAGAACACACTATGCTGAGAAACAGAGACAGAGATAATAAGAATGAAGAATAATTCAACAGATCTAGAAATGAAGGTTGAGGATACAGTATATTGGATAATGCCTGTCGCTGGCTAATACATCGATCATAATTTCAGAAATGGGTTAAATATTCATGTAAAAGATGTGTTTTCAAAACCTTCGCAAAATTATTCTCTCAAACAGAGGTTTTACATAATAAATCAATTTTCGCCGAAAAATGTTCAAGAAACAAACGAAAATACTCACTGACATATGGAACTCCATTCATAGGTGACGAGTTCGAACTCTAACCTTAACATGATGCATTGTACAGACACGATCGGCAAATAATTATCACAAAATGAATAATGATCAGAAACAATCTATGCGTACTAATAAATTTTTTGATTGAGTAAAATTTACCACTTAGACAGATTTACCAAAACAACTTAAATATACAACTGTTAGTGGGACATAGATTGGATTAAAGCATGATTGCGTTGTTGCACGCTGATTGACTCTTTCTGTTAAGCTCGTTACTAGGTATGCTTGAAACTATTACGGGTTCATCTAAGTCGATAAACGAGAACGAGACAATGAACCAGTGTCACGGTAGGCTATTCTGATCCGTTGATCCAAAAGACCTAAGAAAAAGTTTTGATATAGCCTAGAAAGTGTATTCTACAAACACCCAGCCAGCATACAAATCGCGTCTATTTATACACCATAGAGACGTCCTTTAGAGATTCACAAAAACAGCACACTAAAATAACGCAGTAACCTATCACAGCCAAGGATTTTCCTGGAGGGAAATGTGATCTCAAGGTCAACCGATCAGCCAATGAATAAAATCCAAAATGAAGACATTTATCAAGCCAGTACTGGCCATCCAACTTCCCCAACATTTTCGCATCCAATCAGCGCTAGCCGATACTCAGAGAACATTCTAGAAAGTTCTCATGTATGAAAAATATAAATATACTAACACCTCATTCCTTTGTAACTTCTATCGTCCTTGTTAATGGAATATCATCTCTATTTCCTATTCAACCGTGTTCTGATTTCGGAGTGAACGTCTCCAGTGAATTGGTGTCCGAGAATATATAAGCATTAGTAGGAATAACTGGGTTGTATGTAATATAGAAAGAGATTTATAACAACAAAAGGCAATATATTATGAAAGTAACTTATATACAAAACTTAAATACAAAAACTGAAAGTAAATAGATTGATTTACCTGCGGTGAAAACATCAACGATAATACATGACTTGTTGTATTGATACTTGAAACTAATTGAAATTCCAATGATGGAAATGATTTGTAAAATAATCCTATTAGTTCTTCATTCTTTCTTGTTTTATTATTATTATTATTCATATTAGGCAAACAATAAGCTTTTTTACCAGTCCAAAATAATTGTTTAAATAGAATATCTTTAAATAGTGTATTTTTGGTGAGAAATTTCCTTAGAATGATACGTGTTAAACGTTGAAATATTTTTACAGGTAAAAATATATTTGTAGTTCCACTGTCAATGATTGTTCTGTATAAATTTAACTGAGAAAAAAAAATTAAAAATTAAAAATATATATATACACATGTTGTGGTGTAAGCTACTTATAAGTAGTATATGACGTGAGTGAGTGTCAACGTAATGTCTGGCAGCAGAAGATGGGGGAAGATCAAGAAAGTAAGAAGAGTGGGAACACAATGGAATTTGTATGAAACGTATGAATAAGTGAAATGTCAGACAATTGATTGAAGATTAGCAAATTAACCGTTTACGATATGGTTTCCCTATGGTTTCCCCACCTGTGTTCTCGTTCACTATAATGTATATATTAAAGATATTAGGATGATGGAGAACATTTTTAGTTCAGGTGGTTGATGATCGTGGTGGAGTTTCGTTCTCTGAGTTGAATGTTATGATTGTTCTGCCTCGGAACAACATCATCAACGCAAACATCAGGTAAAAGTGTCCACCAGTGATCATTAGTTTTCCAAGATGCTCAGCTACTCATCATATCCCTGTGGACAGTTGATTGGTGGTCTTTATCTGACACCTGTCGGTAGAACATGCTGTCGAGGATATTCGTGTAGAAAGTAGAGCTGTTTCTCGATTGGAAGCCGGCTTTCTGTAGAAAATCACCCATTTCCGAATAATGAGAAGTGTCATGCTCATGTGCTCTTGAGATGGTGAAGAAAATTTTCGTAGCTCAACTGGATGATTATAGTGGAGTTTTGTTCTCTGAGTTGGATAATTTGGTTGTGAAGCTTTCATAATTCCTCGGATAAAGATAGTAGAGGTATTAACGGCAATGAAGAAGACTAGTAGGGTTTGAAGATATTATTCAAGAAGTATAATTCAGTAAGATAAGGTTAGAAAGACAAAGGTAGAGGTGTTGACGAATCCAGAAGATAAGGATTTCAGAGAGCTCAACGAATGGATGCTCTTGAACCATTGCAAACGATTTTGAGCCATATCGTTCAAGGTCTTTAACCATTGGTGACTTTCGTCTCGCGGACCCCAACCAGGTAGCCTACATCTACCAACATGACTCAGTCCACTAGTCAGTGACTTCATGGATTTGTGCCATGTTTTGGTTTGGCCTCCCCTAACTTTCTTCCAACCTACTCATTGAGGGTAGTATGTGTTGATTGAGTGGATTTCACTAAAATTATAGCGTAATTGATTGTTAATTCAATGCTTTGGAGATTTTGGCCTCCTTGTGAGAAGAGACATATCTGCGTTTCGTATTAAGTAAACTTGAAAAGGAATGTTTTAATGTGCGGGTCCTCATATTTGATTGAACACAGTACATGCTAACCCTCAAGCTGACTACATGAATGATAAGGAAGAAGCAGAAGCGAAGTTCTGTTTGGCTACCGAATATTAGGCACAAAAATAATCGTCTGTATATATATATATATATATATATATATATATATATATATATATTTCATCTCCTTAGAAGGAAGCTGTTTGTTGACCAGTGATATATATATATCCGTCCTTTATGATATTGTCTGATAGTCATTAAATAGCCTCCTAATTTGGCCACTTTTCATTGGCTCACTATATCAAAAAGAGTATTATTTTAAACCTGTGGTATAGAATGAAACACTGAGTTGGTATTTGATTAGTTTACAATATTTCTCTTGTTGATATCAGTCACTGATGAATAATAACTTCAGATTATGTAGAATTTGAAAAACACATATCACTAATAGTAGTTAAATTTGCAATGAGAGTTATCGAGATAATTGTTTTCACACATTTGAAACCATCAAAAAAAAACATTAATCCCCATAACTCTAATTGAGAAATAGTAAAATGTGCTTACTAGTGACTAGCTTCGTGAGAAAATTCTCGGAGTTTTAGTGAGGAGACTTGATCAGTGGAGTTCAAACCTGCGTCGGGTGATGGCAGTAACTACCAAAGGCAAATGAGTGAGGTCGCGCAAAATCCCTTGATCAGTTAGAGTTAGACATTAACACCGTTGGATGCCGGCCCAGTGTTCCATGGGTTAGACGTTCACGCGCAAATCCCGGAGGTACCAGGTTCGAATCCCGCGAGTGGCAGGAGTTTTGGATACGCACTGCTTATAAGTCCCATACCAAGACGAAACGGCTGTTCAGTGCTTTCAGGTTTCTAATTGTGGTCTAACAATGATTGGTTGATGATTTCAAATGATTAATTAAATTCCAAAATTTATATCTGGACGATAATAATACGTTATTCATTACAGAGTTATGGAGATTGTTGTTTTTCACTGAAATCATGACTAGCCTCAACAAGGGGAAATTCTCGGAGTTCTAGTGAGAAGCCATAACCCGTGGATTTCAACCCTACTGGGTGTAGATAGCAAATACCGAAGACAATAGGTGAAGTTGCATAAAACTGTAGATTGATCAAAGTTAGACATTAACACCGTTAGATGCCGCTTTAGTGGTCTCGAGTCTGAGCTTTCATGCTTGAGATCACTGGTTCTGGGTTTGACTTCTGCCAGCCGAGGATGTGGATGCAGATTACTGATGAGCCCCATACTGGGCTGCAACGGCTGTCAAGGGGTTCAAGGTTTTTTAATAGTGATCTAAGAATGGTTGATTCATGGTTTCAAAAAATTATACTTTATCGAGTTTTATACAGGTAGGTAACATTTGATCCATGTCGATAGTTTGTTTCAACCCAAGCAAACGGATTCGATAGATTCGAAACGAAAATACTATCTCAATAAAAATGGTAATATTTTCAACATTGTTTCAGTTTAACAAAGTCATCTGTCATGTTCATTGAATTGTTTTTCCGAAGATTTTTTTATTTTAAAATCTAACTAGCACTATTAAAACTTTACAGTTAGATAAAAATGTGTAATTTTGTTAATAGTAGATTACATTAATGCACTTATCTTCATAAGACGTAGTTAGTTATAAGCCACGTTCTGTGAGGTACCATTTTTCTAATTAATTGGAAAACACTGGAGTTTGATATTGAAAAAATGATTCTTTCGGTCATCAAGCGTGGACAAATAGGCATGGAATTTCATTTCTTCGAAATTAATCTCTACTCCGGACTCACTGCGTTTGACTACTTGTAATTGTGAGGATTTGATTTCGAACAATTTGGTCTCGTTTGCTTTTACGGGTGTGAGGGCGGTTGTCACTTCCCGGTTGCCCACACCATGGAAGGTTGTTTCTTGAGGAACCTGAAAACGAAGGTAGATTACCATTGGTCTTAGAGACCTGGGTGCGTGACCGAAGAGCCCAAGGGATAATTGCTTGAGGCCGGTCACTCACGGCCTTTTTATGAAGGGTTTTTTCAGTATTAGCTCCGCTCTTAAAGGCCCTTAGTGGGTACCCTTACCGCCGGAGATGGAAATTCGTGAGGTAGGGTGAGGTGTGACATTTTTAGGGTCGACCTTTTCTAACCCTTCCTTCCTTGTGAGAAGGCAGCATCGCTGCAGATGCTGGTTTTTTTGAGGGAAACACCTTACTGCTGTCACACCCCTCTGCAGTCAGCAGTACGACTTCGCCCTCAGACCTTGAGTAGCTGCTTTTAGTCTCATCGCTCTCCATTCGACCTGCCTGGCATGGTAGAACCTTGAGGAACATATGTTCCAGCCAGTATAGCTCGGTTGGGTGATGACAATAGTCAAGCCCGACCACCACTTCAAGGTAGCAGCTACGGTCGGGGAACTCCACTAGTCACGTCTTCTCTTCAAAACTCCAAGAACTTTACGAAGTTAGTCACTACCACAAAATATTATATGTTTGAAAACACACACACCAACTTGAATTTACCTCTTTACAATTATCGACTAAACTATATTTATCAATCAATAGATTTGTTAAAATAATTTCATAATACCATGCTTTTCGTATTGGTGTAAAATAAATTGTTGATGGTTTAAACTTGGACATTTTCAATAGTGAAACATTATCAAATGGCCAGAAGAGATTTATATCAGTTTGACCAATAATTAATCTGCCTGACATTTGTAATGAATTCATATTTCGATTAGTGTACTGTAACATAACAAAGAGAAACAGAACAAAACATGGTAAAATATGTATGTATGTATATATATACAATGATTGGTAGAATTTGATCAAGACAAAATTTTCTAAAATATCATACTATTTATTATACCATTCTAAATCAATCATTGTATAAATTTTATATTCTTAGAAAAAGTTCATTGAACATTGAATAGCTAAGCGTGATTAGGTTGAGGAATAGGATACTGGACAACTCTTGTTCAATTTGAACAAATCTACCCGTTTACACATAACAGACTCTTTCGAGGTGAAGACCGGTATCAGGCTAGGTTGTGTACTCTCACCCTTTCTACTTCGCCTGGTGATCGACTGGATTATGAAGACGTCAACATCTGGAGGGAAGCACGGTATAAACTGGACAGTTAGGACGCAGCTGGATGATCTGAACTCCGCAGATGACCTAGCTCTTCTATCGCACACACATCAACAAATGCAAGAGAAGACGACCAGTGTAGCAGCAGCCTCTGCAGCAGTAGGTATCAACATACACAAAGGAAAAAGCGAAATCCTTCGATGCAACACAGCATGCACCAACCAAATTACTCTTGATGGAGATGCCTTGGAAGACGTTAACACCTTTGCATATCTGAGCAGCATCATCGACGAGAAAGGTAGATCCGATGCAGATGTGAGGGCGCGGATTGGCAAAGCAAGGGCTGCCTTTTTACAGTTGGAAAATATCTGGAACTCCAAACAACTTTCAACCAAAACCAAAATAAGGATTTTCAATACAAATGTCAAGACAGTTCTACTGTATGGAGCGGAAACCTGGAGAACTACGTAAGACATCATCCAGAACATACAAGTGTTCATTAACAGCTGTCTACGCAAAATACTTTGGATTCGTTGGTCAGACACCATCAGCAACAACATACTGTGGTAGGGAACAAACCAGATTGCAGTGGATGAGGAAATGAGGAAGAAGCGGTGGAAGTGGATAGGACATACATTGCGGAAAGCACATAAATGCATCACGAGGCAAGCCCTCACTCGATTGGGGGTAACAGGCGTAAGTAAAGTAAGTACTGTCACTATTATAATCGTTACAACTCTTTGAACTAATAGTAATAATAATAATAATTTACCAACGTAGTGCCACATAACAATAATCCAAAACGTTTATGAATTTCCCACTGAGAATTCAATTGATCTAAATAGGTTAATTGATCGTCTGAAACAATTTTATTCATTGATTGTTTCACTCTGTCCATAAGTACATTATTGTTTTGATAATCATCATACTTCCTTTTCATTGATCGTGGTTTCACATAAATTGAAGCAAATCCTAATCCAATTATTCCATTCCATGTTAAATGAGTAGTAGTATGTGATAGAAATACTTTTTTTGATTTATTAATTAAACTAAATATCATATCAAGTTTATTATCATTGATCATTGAATAATGATGATTGATGATCATTGAACCTAGTATGAAATAATGAATTAAAATGTTATTGATATTTTGGTGCAAGTAAATTAGTTTAAAATATAAAAAAGCATGCTGCAGTATATTAACAGATTTATTGAAATCATGAATCTTCATGAGTCTTCAAGTCACCATTATAAGCCTGGATTCACTGGACGGGCCGTTCCATTGAAGTACGCAGCCACGACTCCTGCTACTTGCAGGAATCGAACCCAGAACATTCGGTCTTGTGTGCGAATACCTAACCTCTGGACCCTAAGCCGGCATCCAGTTGGTGGTGATGTTTCAACTTTGATCAATCTAAGGCCTCGCTCAATTTCACCTTAATGAAAATAGAGCATTATAAAGCTACTCAACAACATATTACTTTAAAGCATACAGTTCACTATTCCTTTTTGTAACAATAAATTCATTGAATGGTGTGATCAAACTGAATCTATCATAATTTCTAAGCATCCAATAAGTCTAACTAATATCTTATCTAAAATATTGGCCTCAGTAATACTTCGACGCTTAACGAAAGCTCGTGAAGAGCAGACTAGCGAAAACCAGGCTGGTTTTCGACCTGGACGTGGTTGTATAGACCACATCTTCACACTAAGACAAGTCCTGGAACACAGACACACATTTAGGCGTCCTACAATAGTTGTCTTCCTGAACCTTAAGGCGGCATTTGACTCAGTGGATCGTGAGGTTCTGTGGCAGTGTCTGTCATTGAAAGGTGTACCAGAGAAGTACATTAACCTCATACAAGCTCTCTACGCGAACACCACTGGTCGAGTGAGAGCTTATGGCGAACTGTCACCGGAATTCTTCACTCCAAGTAGTGTCCGTCAGGGACATCCACTCTCTTCATCCTTGTTTAATTTTATCATATATATCTCACTGAATCATACTTCTTGAATAATATCTTCTAATCCTAACATCTCCGATTACTCCTAATACCTTTACTACCTCTTCTACTATTGGATTTGAATTGACAATTACATCTCTGTGTTGATGTGGTATGGCGACATGAACTGATGTACTTACGTACGAAGTTCTACGTTGCATATGACTGAGAATATAAAAGCAAAAGCTACAGATATAGCCTAAATCAGATTCCAGCAGAAGAAGAAATCAGGAGGAAGCTCTGGAAGTGAATAAGACACATAGTTTGTTATGCTACAATTTAGGTATTTAGTGGTTACATATCTGACTTTTATTGTATATTTATAATATCAAGAAGTCATAGTTTACTTTCGAATATCGATTTCTGCCAATGATATCCTTTATGTTACCTACATGAATTTAACACACCAAAGTTTAATATGAACATTTTGATGGATTTGATTTTGAACAGACAATAATGAACGATTATGCTACCTCATCGTAGGTGACATTAAAGGACAATCATGTTATTTGTAAAACAAATTTGAAACACTCGCCTCCTTAATGGCTGTCTATTGAATAACTTAAAAAAAATAACAAGTTGAAAGTCAATTTACATATTTTTTTTACATTGAAACTGTTCAAATTTCAAACAATCAATATTTAAACAATCTGTTCAATAGATATTGAACAATATTAATTGAACTTTCTTATTTCTCTCCCACAAAATACTCTGTACATACATACCTTGTTTTTTGGTAAAATCAAATTCATCTTGACAATAAATACCAGACCAATAACCTTTCAAATAATGTACATGTTGATTGAAATGGCTATTACATTTCAATGTTGATGACTTGTTCGATTGAAACCAATGATCGACATTTTTTAAATATCTACCAGCTAAGGCTAAGTTACTACTGCCAGTATCAACAAGTAATTGCATCTAAAAAAATTTTTAAAAAAAACTGATAATATAGTGAACGAGAACACAGGTGGGGCAACCGGATTGTATTTAACGAAAATTACAGAGTTAGTTATTCAGTAAAATAGGAAAACCATATCGTAAATCGTTAATTTGCAAAATATCAGTCCATCATATCGAACTGGACTGTTCCTGTTGCAAAACATCAATCCATTGTCACTCACTTATTACTGCGTTTCATACAAATTCCATTGTTTTCTAACTCTTCGTTTCTTGATCTTCCCCCATCTTCTGCTGCCACCAGACATTACGTTTACACTCACGTCATATACTACTTATAAGTAGCTCGCACAACAATAATAGTTCAAAGATGAATCATATGATTTCCAATTATACCAATTTATCGACAAGAACAAAGCAGTATTTTATTTTTACAATAGGTTAATTGGATAGTTTACTATTGTGGTGGTGTTTAGTAGTTCTCTGAGCTGGATGTTTTGGTTGTGAATTCAAACACATGATTTATGAGTATTAAAGATTCCCATTGTGAAAATTAGAACAACACAGATATAAGCGAACAATAATTGTTGTTATTTTCGATTAGATCATCATCAGGCTGCTTTACTCTCTCATACATACATGAATATTTATGTATGAAAATGGGAAACCAATCAAGGCAATTTGAGTCGATGATCACAATGAAATAGGTAGAAGTACAAGTGGATAGTAGGAAGACAGGTGTACTGATAGTAGTAGGAAGAAAATTATAAAATATAATAACTAAAGGTTTATCAATAGTACGTCAAAGGGGGATGAATAGACTTCAAATAATCATCAAAAAACATCAAAGCCATTACGTAATAAGCAAATGTGTTAAAAATTAAAAAATAGTGTCAATCGTTAGTTACGTCATAACGGGCCACGGAAGAGATAGGGGTGTCACGAATTTATTCGGAACACATAAATTGCGGTTGAGTGTACGTATTCCTATGGCTTCTGCTATGTATAGGAGACGGGATCCGTAGGGAAATGATGGAGGTATACGATAGATCACCAGAATAGATCTAGATTTATCTACAATGTGACCACTATCTACCAGGTGTGCTAAGATAGAGCTGCGTATTATTTTTGACTGACCCTTCTTAAACCATTCCGTGCGATGTTAACTCATTCATTGGGTTAGTCGCCTGGTAGTACGCCCGATATAGCTATCTCCACAGGAGCAGCTCAGTTTGTAAATGCACATAGAGTAGGCTAACTCAGTTAACTTATCCTTCGTTTGGGTAGACATTGCTGGTCGACTTGAGAAAGTCAACGCAAGTGATTATCACTCAAATTGCCCTGATTGGTTTCACATTTTCATACATAAATATTCATGTATATTAGAGAGTAAAGCAGCCTGATGACGATCTAATCGAAAACAAAACAATATTGTTCGCTTATATGTGTTGTTCTGATTCAAATACAGTTGTTTTAACCAATTAACATCAGAAACGGAATTGTTATATACAATAAAACCAATGAATATTGAATTACTGTCTGAATTTTAAAACATGAACCATTATACCATCATATTCTGTGGTCAAAGTTAAACATAAATCTTTTTGAGTTTCATCTCGTGTTTGTTTTTGGGTAATCTCTGATGATAGAGACGTTTGAATTAAACAAACCAGAAAATGACTGTGAATGGAGAAGATCATTCATTCAGTCAGCAACAGTTAAGTTGCCATACCACATTAGCACAATGAGATTGAATCGTCAATTCACAAAGAGGTAGTAGAAGTATTGGCAATAATGGAGAAGATCACAGTTTGAAGATATTAATCAAGAAGTACAATCCAATGAAATGAATTTAAAAAAGAGATTCTTTTTCACAGCCAGGCAAAGTAATGTTCATTGATACATTTGGAAAAAGCATTAATTTCTCAGCCAATAAACTTGCTCCCTCACTACTACTGTAGTGAAGGAGAACACAGGTGGGGCAACCGAATTGTATTTAACGAAAATTACAGAGTTAATCAGTAAAATAAGAAAACCATATTGTAAACGGTTAATTTGTAAATCTTCAATCAATCATCAATCCATTGTCTGGCATTTCACTATTCATGCGTTTCATACAAATTCCATTTTGTTCCCCCTCTTCTTACTTTCTTGATCTTCCTCCATCTTCTGCTTCCAGACATTACGTTTTTACTCGCGTCATATACTACTTATAAGTAGCTCGCACCACACTACCAGTTCACAAACAATCTAGCCTTCAAGCATACTAACGAGCCAGTTTATCTTTAGCGTATTAAAAATTCATTCACAAAGCAAGAGATGCATTTCTACAAATGAACAGCTTTTAGAACTCAAAACAACTATCAATCAACACCAAAGTCAGAATTTTCAGTAAAAATGTCAAAACAGTTCTACTGTATGAGGTGGAAACTCGAAACCATCATCCAGAAGATACAAGTATTTATTAACAGTTTTCTAAGGAAAATACTTCGGATTCGTTGGCCAGACACTGTCAGCAAAAACAACTTACTGTGGAAGAGAACAAACCAGAATCCAGCTGAGGAAGAAATCAAGAAGAGGGGCTGGAAGTGGATAGGACACACACACTGAGAAAAGCATCTTACTGCATTACAGGACAAACCCTCACTTGGAATCGACAGTGTTAAAGAGAAAGAGGAAGACCATGGAACACATTACGCCTAGAAATGAAGACAGGCATGAGAGGAGAATGAGTAGCAAATGGATAGAACTAAAAAGTAAGGTCGTGGACAGAGTAGGTCGAAGAATGTTGGTCAACTGCCTGTACTCCGTTGTTGGTAACATGCGTAACTAAGTAAATAAGTATCAAAAATTCAAGCGTCAAGTGGAAACTGTTTTCCGAAGCTTAGTAGGATAAAAATTATTTCTCATTGTTCTTGACAGACTGTACACTCAAAATAATCTTATGAAATAACTAGCCGTTATAACTTTTTGATAAAAGAAAATGTTATATTCCGGTGAATTTGATATCAGTGGCTGCTTAATTTGATGTGAACAATGTAACTGAGGAATTGGATATCAAGAATGAGGTACAATCAACAAAATACCAGTGATCTGATGTAGTGAGTTGATACATTTATATTAGAAGTTAGGCTGTAACACTATTGGATGCCGATTCAAGAGTCTAGAGATTAAGCGTTCATATGCGAGACCATAGGTCTTGGATTCGAATCCTGAATGCAGGGGTTCTTGATTAACACTGATGATGAATGCCATATTAGGACGAAACAGCCATCCAGTGCTTTCAAGTTTCCAATTGTAGTTTATTTGATATCAGTTCATAGATTCTTCAACTATGAAAATAATATAATTTCCACAAATCGTTTTTACTGATAACGAATTTTTTTAAATAAAAAAATCACTGTACTTACTCATTACTGAAAACATAATTTGATGCGAAGTTATTGGTTCGTTAGCTTATGGAATTGTAATGCATGTACTACTATGTTGAGTCCACAGGGTTTGTCTAAGCTTTCTAACAAACTAATTAACCTTTTCTGCTATAGTTATTCATACGTCTTTTGATCTTGTCAATTATTCTCTTATATTATGGCTGTTTTTAATTGAGTACTTGTGTACAAGTGTTTATTAACAGTTGTCTACGCAAAATACTTCGTATTCGTTGACAAGACACCATCAACAACAACGTACTGTGGGAGAGAACAAACCAGATTCCAGTGGAGTAGGAAATCAGGAAGAAGCGATGGAAGTGGATAGGACACACATTGCGGAAAGCACCTAACTGCGTCACAAGACAAGCCCTCACATGGAACCCTCAAGGTGAAAGGAAAAGAGGAAGGCCAAAGAATACATTACGCCGAGAAATATAGAAAGATATGAAAGGAATGAACAAACATTGGACAGAACTGGAGAGGGATGCCCAGGACAGAGTTGGCTGGAGAAAACTGGTGGGCGACCTATGCTCCATTGGGTGGTAACAGGCGTAAGTGAAGTAAGTAAGTACTTGTGTACACTACTTACTTCACTTACTTCACATGTCTAGCTTATTTTTGTCTAAATATAAATAATACATAGTTATGCTTCCTCATCTTATTCAGTTTGGCTCAATCTCCTTCTCCACTGTGCTTCGCTTCGCTTTGCTTTCATACTTTATATTCTCATGTCTGTTTGTATTAATGATTTCATGAAATAAACTCATCCAATTGAATCCGCCCTGTATGGCTTCTTATTACCTCTGTCCTTCGCCTAGGAGGAATTAAAGGTGAGCTTCATTGCATAGCATATTTAAAGTCGTTTGGTACAAATCGTGGGTGCAACTTAAACTTTAATGATTAACTAACTAACTAACTATTCCGTATTTTCTTTAACTTACCTTTTGACCTGGTCTTCCAACATAAACTGTCATGTAATATCCTTGTCCAGGAGAACCAGACAGATCATAAACAATAAATGTACGTGAAGAGATGTCAGGTGATAGATACAAATTGTCAACATAATAATTATTCAATGCAATCAGTTGATAGAATACAACAACAATGTCATATAATCTAAACATGAGAATGAATTCTAAATAATGTTTTCTTCATGAAGTTTTATCTTTATCAATAATAATAATAAGAAGAAGAAGAAGAATATTTGATAATCAATAATATTTATTCATGATAAAATTCTAGTTTGTTTAAGTACATTTGTGCACTTAAACACTCTAAATTTATGTTTATTGTCAAAAATACTAATTAGCTTTATTATTAAAACACTTGATTGATCGCATTTCACTCAATATATTTTAGTAATTGGGTTTGAACGAAAGGATTTTTAGCGTGTAGTTAGTTATATTCACTAATCCCTCCCCTGTGTCATGATGTTAACGACTTGCTCTTGACAATCAATGTATATAGTGAGATTCAACGTAAATCTTGTGATTTAGGACGATATAGTTTCCTTACAATGATATTTGTAACTCCACCTGGAAAACTTCAGCTAGTACTACTGATCTCAAACACCGATAAAGAAGGACGGTTGGACGTGGGGTTAGTGAACCCATCCCATAGAAATGTAAGTCGCTAAAAAAAACAAACTGGAAAAGTAATTTATTGATCGGCAGCCTGTGCTCCATTAGGGGTAATAGTGTGGTGCGCGCTACTTATAAGTAGTATATGACGTGAGTGTAAACGTAATGTCTGGCAGCAGAAGATAGGGGAAGATCAAGAAATTAAGAAGAGTGGGAACACAACGGAATTTGTATGAAACGCATGAACAGTGAAATGTCGGACAATGGATTGATGATGGATTGAAGATTTACAAATTAACCGTTTACGATATGGTTTTCTTATTTTACTGAGTAAACTCTGTAATTTTCGTTAAATACAATTCGGTTGCCCTCACCTGTGTTCTCCTTCACTACTATAGGAGTAGTATGACTTATTGACTAAGAGTATTAAAATATTCCGAAATCTTGTTTTTATCGTGAAACATTGAACACTCGAAAGAAGAAAACTATTTTTTCTTAGCTATTGGTACTAACAATCATAAATCTTGGATTCTCGTGGCAAGTACGGAATTTTAGAGTCGGTAATTAGTTTCCATTGATCGCAGTTTCTCACAGATTATCTCAAAGTTCCTTACAAATATATTCCAGCTGTGATCAATTGTTGTAATAAATTATTTGCGTAGAGATTTCATAATATATGAAGAGAATTTTGATAGTGAATAAATAAAAGAAAATCCTAATCAATAGACATGATTGTAATATGTGCTAGATATGTTATCTGCATTACGGGGTTGTGAAGATTGTTAAGTTACACATTTTTGAAACCATCAATCGATCAATGTTAGACCACCATTAGAAACCTGGAAGCACTGGATGGCTGTTTCGTCCTGGCATGGGACTCCTCAGCAGTGCGCATCCACGACTCCTGCAGCCCGCAAGATTCGAACCAAGGAAGTTCAACCTGTTCGGGTGTAGGCAGTGTCTACCGAAGACTGTATATGAGGTTGCGCAACTCCGTGAATTTGATCAAGTTAGACATTAACACCGTTGGATACCGGCTCAGTGATCTAACGGTTAGGGCGTTCGCGCACAATACTGAAGGTCCTGGGTTCGAATCCCGCGGGCTGCAGGGGTCGTGGATGCGCACTGTTGAGGAGTCTCATACCAGGACGGAACAGCAGCCCAGTGCTTCTAGGTTTCTAATGGTGGTCTAACATTGATCGATACATGGTTTCAAAAGATATGTTATCGTCATATTGTTGAAGTAGACACAGGCTGGAAAATAGTTCGGTTTTTTCACAGCAATACATGAGATTACGTGACTATCCGTTTGTACTGTGTTATAAGAGTTAAAAAACTTTCACACTGGAATCCACAAGTTACTTCTATCATGTGAATCGAGACCTTAGATTTAGTCACTTTCGAATCAGTGCCATAGGATGAGCTGCTAAATACTCTACAATTGAACCGATCAATATCAATTGTCTGCTAGAAAATTTCAACGCATGATTAAATGAGAAAAACGTAAAATAATTGCTCATGCTAATCTGCCATGTATGGCATCCCTTGCCATATCCCCATTTACTTGTATTTTTAGGTATACCAGATTATTATGAGTGGTCAATAATCTCCAACTTATTTTCTTCGTAAACATGTAGTCCTTTAAAACTTTCTCGAGTAGCTTATGTCCGTCGGTAATTGACTTAAATTCCTTTGCTAAGGTACCGTCTGTACAAATATTTTCTTCTCTGCTTTTGTGACATGAAACCATATTTCTTTCTTAGTGGAGGGCCATACAATCTATGAAGTGTGTGTACTGACACGCAGAGGAGCTCTTTCTATACACTCTTCTGCTTCGCGAGCCTTTACCTCGTCTTCCTAATAAGATATCAAGGACATGTAGTTTGTTATCACACTCGTTCTCAGCATTGAAAATGAATGCTGGTGTGTACGTACTTACTTACTTACGTCTGTTGACGCCAATAGAGCATAGGTCGCCCACCAGTTTTCTCCAGCCTACTCTATCATGGGCTTTCTTTTCCAGTTCTGTCCAATGTTCGTTCATTACTCTCATATCTTTCTCTATTTCTCGGCGTAGTGTGTTCCTTGGCCTTCCTCTTTTCCTTTAACCGTGACGGTTCCAAGTAAGAGCTTGTTTTGTGGTGCAGTCAGGTGCTTCCTGCAGCGTGTGTCCTATCCACTTCCACCGCTTCTTCCTGATTTCCTCCTCCACTGGAATCTGGTTTGTTCGTTCCCATAGTTCGTTGTTGTTGATGGTGTCTGGCCAACGAATCCGAAGTATATTGCGTAGGCAACTGTTAGTGAATACTTAAATCTGCCCAATGGTAGATTTTGTAGTTCTCCAAGTTTCCACCTCATACAGTAGAACTGTCTTAACATTTGTATTGAAAATCCTGATTTTGATGTTGATTGACTCTGGATACAAACCACTCTGATTTGATCCGCCAACTTGAGCAACGAATGTGACACGTTACTTCGGTGACCTTCGGTGACAGCTCAAGCATCATCGGTCACTTCCTGTGGGTCAATACTTCCGTCCTACCGATCAGTCCCGCGAACGAAACCGCTACGTATTGAAAGTGTAAACCCCTTCTAGCGGGGGACTGCTTTAGTGGATCTATTTTTATGAAGAGAACGCGATTGATTTGATAGAAACATTATAACCACTTCTACCAGTGACTGTTTAACTGTACTTTTTGTTTATAACACTATTTACGTGCAAGCTCCTGTTTGTGTTCGTGCCAATTTTTGCTCCATATTCTCTGTAATTTCGCTCATTGTTTCTGGCTCGATTTCCGCATTCTTTCGATACCACGAAACCGCCAGTAAATATATTTCTTACCGTGGATTTGTTTGTCTTCTCGCTGACGAGTTCATAATTAGTATTTAGTGGTGATCTTAGTCAATCTCGAATCGATCACCACCAAATGACAATGATCCATAATGTTGCTATTTGGTCGGTAAACGATCAATCCTTACGAAATCCAGCCTCTCGATCTCGAAGTTGGACATCTAAGAAGTACTTCATTCTTTTTAACAATACCTTGTTGAAGAATTTCCCTCTGTGGTTCTCACACTTGCTGAGATCGCTTTTCGTCGGGATTTTGTTCAGGTATCCTTCTTTCCAATCTATTTGAACTTGTTCTTCATCCTAGATCTCTTTGCAGAGAATGTGGAATATCTCTGAAGTTAATGCTACGTCTGCTGGAATATTTTCTGATCCCTCTACTTTGCTACGTCTGGCCCCACTGATCACTTTAATTGTTGGTGGGTCAATATTTCTTGGGAGGTCCGTGAGTGTTGCTTGGATGTTTGGTTGGTTTAATGCGGCTAGTCGATTCAAGAGTTCCTTAAAGTGCTCCACCCACGTGTTTCGAGGTCCTTCAATGTTGCTTATTACTTTGCTTTCTTTGTTTTTCACTTGTCGTTCTGATTTACGACAGTTTCTAGTGAGCTTCTTTGCTGCGTTGCATAACTGTCTCATGTTCCCTTCTCTTGCAGCTTCTTCCGCTGTCATTGCAGAATCTTTCACAATGGATATTTGTCGGTTCTGGAGTTTCTCTTCACTTGCGTGTTTGCTTTCGTGTATTTAGCTTGTGCCTTGACTCTCTCTGCTCTTGTTCGGCTGACATTGATTTCAGCCTTCTTGTTCCTCCTTTCTTCAATTTTTTCAAGAGTACCAACAGAGATCTAATCCTTGTGATTGTACTTCTTATGGTTTAGAACTTTGTGACATGTTGAAGTGATTGCCTCCTTGATCCCTTTCCATTAGTTCTCCATGGTTGTTTTCTCTCCATCGAGTAGATCGTGCAAGACCTGGAACCTGCTGCTGAAAGCTTTCTTAAATTTGTTGAGCTTTCCAGTACCCCAAATAAAAGCCGTAATAAACTTTTGTAATGATTTGCACCCGGTTGTCCAGTGCTATCTGAGTTCCGTTTTCATTTCCACAACCAGCAAGTGATGTTCTGAGGTTATATCAGCTCCTCTCTTTATTCTCATTTCCTTCATGATCCTTCTGAACTTTTATCGATGCGCATATGGTCGATTTGGCTCTTAGTAATGTGATCCGGTGAAATCGTTCCGGCTTTGTATATACGTTTGTGTGAAAATCTTGTTTGTTGAAAGCACATAGGTTTGCAAATCTCTCACCGTTTTCGTTCCTTCCTCCTAGTCCATGTCGTCCCATGATGCTTTCATATCCAGTGTTGTCCATGCCAACTTTTGCATTGAGGTCTCTCATCAGAATCGTCGAATCCTTTAGCGAGCATTGATTGACTGCAGCACTTCGTGGAATTGATCTTTAACGTCGTCATTGTGGTCATTGGTTGGTGCATAGCATTGGATGACGTTCATTGTAATGTCCTCTTCCTTTGTTTTGAAAGTTGCTTAAATGATCTTGGGTCCATGAGACACCGTCCCATTAGTGCTTTTTATGCTTGTTTGGACAGCATCAGTGCAACTCCTTGTGTGTGTAAGGCATTTTCTTCTTCATGACAGGAGCATAACACCAGCTCTCTGAAGCAGGGCGTCGGCCTCGTGACATTCAAAGGAACTCGGCTTTCATCATGTGAAAGCATAACTCTTCTAAACGAGGACTTTCTAACTCCCATGACAGAGTTTGAATTGTTTGAATTGATTTTTCTGTTTAGCGTCTTTTAGCGAGTTAGTTTTTTTATAGGATAGGGTCGCCAACTCCATCCCCGGCCCTCCTCTTTTATTCGATCTTGGGACCGGCAGCAGCACCAGACGGGCTTCAGGTCGACGGAGATCATATTTATAATACATGTGTCAGAAATCATAAACTGATTTATGATTCTGAAACCACAGGGTTGCTTGATTGAAAGATAGTTATTTCTCCGAGATTTGTCTAAGTATTCTAACTGGATTAAGTCTAGTAACCCTACAAGGTCGCTTTTTTGAATAATGAAAGCAGTAAACACAACATTCTCAAACCTCTGGTGGATACTATGATGCAATGTGCAGTGGTTTTCAAATTATGATCAAGTTTTACTTCTAATTTGTTTTCCCCGGTACTCGGGAAGGTAAAGTGCTGTTTGTAATATGTTGGTTGCTGCTGCCATGTTCGGTGTGCATTGGCATACTTTCTAGAACCGATTTATGTGCCTCAGCTTTAAGACCATCTAATTAATCCGTCTAGTCTGCATATAAAGTTGATTAACACCATTATTTCTCCACATTTTGACATCACTGGCAAACAAGTGTGTCGATGACTTCAGCAGTCTCTGTAAGTCTCTAATGTAAAGAGGGGAAACCACACCACTTCTAACCGGTTTCCATACAAACAGCATCACATTTACCCTCTGCTATGTAGTATACATTTTTAGATGATTTGGGAATAATTCGTTCTAACAGTTTACAATCCCAACTCTATCCGCTCCTAGTTTCGCACTTTATATCTCCTGAATCTGAAGCCTGCATGATTACCAATTATTGTTTATTTCCATTTTTGAATATGAGGGCATTCCGTACACTTGTTAGTTTATCGACTCATCTCTTTTGTTCTTTATTCTGGTTCTTCCTACACATGCTGCTTTGCATGCTCCCCTAATATACAAGCTACCTTCTAGCTAGATGCGAACCAAAAGAAGTCACTGATTAATGCAATCATTCATATTTTGAAAACTTCTGTATACGACATTTTAAAACGGTTAGTGTTATGATCTATGCCAGGAAGGCCTTACTCGAATCAGTGATATCACGCTCATGGTTGAACATCCTACAGGAGGAGCTGGGTCTTTAGTGGCAAACAATTTACAAGGATTGACATAAGTCGACTGACCTACTATCCTTATTACTGAAACTTAATAGTGGTTCAACCTTCAGTCGTTCTCGCGGTTGTTGGAGGTAGATTTAAAGTTTGACGGTGTAACGCACATGAAACTCCAAACCACTGACTTCTAGGTTTGTCATGTTGTTTTAAGTCCATGTTTGTATTATTCCATATTTATGTCACTTGCCTTCTTAACTAAAAGTTAATGCGCCTGCTAAATTACCGACTCGTGTTTTCTCATTACCAACCTTTCCTAATCCCGATCTCCGATTACCCAGATTACTTGCAAGCTAGACAAGAACCACCATAAAATGGTATCTAAAACAGTAGGGATATCATTGTGTTGTAACTGGTCAAAACAAATCTATCTCGCGTAAGCAATTTCGGCTAAATTTCACATTGTATGGTTCTACAACTACCATTATTTCGAGCAATTTCGCGGAGTTCTTTCTGCCAAAACGTCATGTTTTTTGAAAGGCTCAGTGGTCCTCTAACCGTCAACGGTCTTTTGTCATTATGTTCTTAAATACTTACGTTCTACATAGCAACGTTTTTGTTACTAAACAGCTAATATTATTTAGGTGTTTTAATGGATGAAGCGATCTGAATACATCTTAAATTTATTTTAACTCCAAAATTTGTTACACAATAATGGTGTTAAAAAGATCTCCGTAATACAATCAAGGTTATAGGGCGAAACCTTCCAGAACATCTAGTTGATTTCTCTACCAAGATAAGTATTCACTCGAATCAGTAACTGAGTTTCTGACAAAAGACAGCTTCTTCGGCGATATTCGCTTCATTTGAATGGCTCTGTATGGTCGACAGTGATAAGAGTCCATTCTCCCTCTCTAAATGATCTCATATACCCGAGCATGTATAGCCATCCCCGGTGAAGTCCTACTTACCTTTTATGTACCGGTTCTGGATACCTCCGAAGCAGTTCCAATGAGGGATTCTGGTTCTGTTATTCAGTCTACTGAGATTACTGAGTGTATGATCCCTGGTATATTTGCTCTCCAAACATTTTGTGTGGTTTGAGCTGTCACAGCGTTGTCAAGAACAATATAGCAGTCAAAGACTAGAGCTACATGGTCTCTTATCTAAATGTGTCATACTATCAAGGCTTAATACGTCTTTCTCATAATGGGTCAATATGATGTCTATTAAGTATTATTCAAAATCCAGGTCGTACATAATGCTTCTCGTATATGATGTATAAAGGCATATGCAATAACCGCGTCACGTAGTTTCTGTTCGAAAGAATTTTCGACAATTCAGTCCCTAGATTTTTCCAGTCTACCGTAGGTGCATTAAAGTCTCCCAGAATCAAATAACAACCATCTGAGTATTAAGTGTTGAATCCATCCAGCACGACCTCAGTTTGAGCTGCGATAAACTAAGCCACTCAGCAACTTTTATCATTTACACTTCAAGTTGCACCTAACTAATTCTCACAACCCCTTTTTCATGGGATGTTATCGATAGCGATAAGGGGGATAGTATAAACATATTAATAATAATAATAATAATAATAATAATAATATAAATATATATAAATCAGGCTACTCCTCGCTCTTCTAGTTTCTGGATTTCAAAATCACGTTTACTACTGTCTGTTTCTGTGATGGCGATTACAACCAGCCTGATAAAATCTATCTGTGTGCCTTCAGTTTCTTGTTGATTTTCGTTATGTATATAGACGTTTGGAATAATCCTTGCTAAGAATATGAATTTTTTATTACTGAAACCATAATAAACAACAACCTCCATAACTCGTGCAATGTGCTTACTAGTGACTAGCTTCGTGTGGAAATTCTCGGAGTCTTAGTGAAGAGATATGACCTGTGGAGTTCAACCCTCTCAGGTGTAGGCAGTTACTACCGGAGACAAATGAGTGAGGTCGCACAAAATCCCTAGATAAATCAGAGCCCGACCGTAGCTGCTACCTTGACGTGGGGGTCGGGCTTGCCTATCGTGATGACCCAACCGAGCTATACTGGCTGGAACATATGTTCCTCAAGGTTCTACCATGCCAGACAGGTCGATTGGAGAACGATGAGACTAAAAGCAGCTGCCCAAGGTCTGAGGGCGAAGTCGTACTGTTGACTGCAGAGAGGTGTGACAGCAGTAAGGTGTTTCCCTCGGACAACCAGCATTTTCTGCAGCGATGCTGCCTTCTCGCAAGGAAGGAAGGGTTAGAAAAGGTCGACCCTAAGAATGTCACACCTCACCCCCTGCCTCACGGATTTCCGTCTCCTTGGGTAAGGGTGCCCACTAAGGGCCTTTAAGAACGGAGCTAATCCGCAAAAAACATTTCATAAAAAGGCCGTGCGTGACCGGCCTCAAGCAGTTGTCCCTTGGGCTCTGCGGTCATGCACCAACACTAATCTATCTTCCTTTTCAGGTTCCTCAAGAAACAACCTTCCACGGTGTGGGCAGCCGGGAAGTGACAACCGCCCTCATACCCATAACATAACATAACAGATAAATCAGAGAGTTAAAAGGTCCTGGGTTCGAATCCTGCGAGTAACAGAAGTCGTAAATCCGTACTGTGAAAGAGTCCTGTACCAGGAAGAAACAGCCGCCCAGTGCTTTCAAGTTTCTAATGGTGATTTAACAATGACTGACTCAAGATTTCAGTAAGAATATGAATATTTGGATTGATCATTGATTGAAACAAGTCCACACTTACTTATACTATGATACCTAATTACTCATGTTTATTGCTTATTACTATTGTTTGTGTATTAAAATTTGCAACCAATGTTCTTACCATAATTTCTCATTAGAAGTATGTATTTTGACTGCTAGCTAAATCTTATCTTGCATTCACAGGTTTCTTATTGTCTTTTAAAAGTAAACATCATAATAATGAATCGTGGTTTAATTGATACAACTAGTATCAAGTAATTGTTTATTATGAACATGAACATTTTTGTAGAAATCATTTACAAGCAAAAGATTTGGTTGTATGCAATGAAATCTCTACATCATTAGACGAGTTTAAGTAAATTAAAAATATTCATTGTTTTCACACACACATACACCCACACTCACAAAATAGGAAATTTTTAATTCAACAAAAAAAACATCATGAAGAATTATCAAATTTATCGCATAACAATTTAATTACGTTACGTGATGATCTCAAAACTGTCAGTCAACAAGTTTCGTCTACAATATCCAATCTTCGGCAGACATCTACAACTATTTCACGTTTAAAAACAGAAGTATTAAAAGTGAGTGTTTTGTTTTTTTTGGCCTAATTCGCATAATTTTTTTCGTTTTTCCCTATAATAAGGAAGAGAAAAATGCCAGTCTAGCTCATAAAACATTCGATCATGGATTGAGTATTAAAAGTGATAACAATGAATTAACAAGGTAAATAGTTTTTGTTTTTTCGGCACAAATTATTCTAGATTTAGTTATTTCATGAAAAAAATCAATGAATTCGATACAAGAATTCGATTGTATAAACAAGAATTGGAAGTATTTGAAGAGAATGTCTACTCGCAGCCATTAACACCAATGACTCCACGAGGTAATGTTTGTTTCTGTTTCTGTTCTTAATAATAAACACATACATTTTAGATCTTTTAAATATTTTGCATTTAATAGATCATGATTTTATTAATCTTGCTGCTCAATTGTATACTGCACATGAAAGTATTAAGGTATGTTTGTATTTTTCAATAGTGTTGATTCAATGGCTTAGAGTTATTACTTCTAGTTTAGTTACGGGTTTTGGGTCCTGTTGGTAAATGTAGTAGTTAGGGTCGACAAAATTATGGTGAACCACAAGATTGAAGACAAATGATATGAAGCAGTGGTTGAGTAGTTAAAACATTCAGCTTTTAATCTATTCACCTTAGGCTGGCAATGTACTCTGGTCTAGGTAACGCCTCACATGAAGTGTTGTTCGACAATAAGTATACCATATATATGCCTGTACCAGGAGACCCGCTTGTTGACCTAGAATATGCCAGCGACATAGTCCTACTTGATGAAGACGCTGACAAAATGCAGAGTCTTTTGACTACCCTGAGCAACGATACAAGCATGTTCAAGATACGGTTTTCTCCGTGAAAATGCAAAATGTTGCTTCAAGATTGGCTTGCGTCGGCACCTGAACTAGTGATAGGGAGTTAAACAGTTGAGCATGTCGACCACTTCACTTATCTCCAGAGTCTCATTAGTGCTGATGGCCTGGTATATGACGAAATCTCAGCGCGGATACAGAAAGCTCGATATGCTTTTTCCAACTTGCGTCACATATGGCGTAGGCGAGATATCCATCTGCTAACAAAATAAACCCGTGTACTGCGCAGCAGTTTGCTCCGTCCTACTATATCGATGCGAAACCTGGCCCGTAAGAGTTGAGGATATTCATAGGTTATTAGTATTCTTCGATCACTCGTGTCTTCTAAGTTACTGACAACTAGATTGTGTCATGTTGGTAAATGTAGACTAATCTGATTGGTGCCCGCGAGACGATAGTAACCGATGGTTACAGACCTCGAATGACATGGCTCAAAGCTGTTTGCAATGACACAAGTGCATCCACTCTTTGTGTTCTCTGGAATTCTAATCTTCTGGATTCTTTATCACCTGTATCTTTCTCTATCGAAATTTATTTCACTAAACTATACTTCTTGAATGAAATATCTTCCAACCGTAATCTCCTCTATTACCACTATGAGATTCGAACTGACAATTCTCTGTGCTAATGTTATATGACAACTTGAACTTATGTACGTACGTTGTAACTGACTGATATATATATATATATTATAAATTTACAAAATTTTAGCTGTTGGTTTTTACAATTAATTCTTTAATGTTTTGTTTTTTTTTCTGTGTAGACATTAAAATCAAACTACTTAAAAAAGTATCGTATGTGCTATGGTTCAGCACGTAATCCATTCGGTGATAATGATGATGATCTGTATTTTAAAAATCAAACTGGAATTGATAATTTATTTGGAAAAGGATTAATAAGTAGAGGAAAAAATGTTTCATCATTCTCTTCCACTCCATATGGTCCTTCACCATTTCCAACATCTGAACCTCCTGTTACATCAAATTCAATTGGTATTGGTAATATGGGAAAAGTTCCAATTATCCCATCGTCATCATCTATTGTTACGACTTTAAGTAGTAGTAATGCATTGACCAATCCACAATTTGGTACAGCTTCTTCTTCGCTTCAACCTAGTAGTAAGTAGTATGTGCAGTTTATGTGTTCATGGTATTTCTTGTTTATTGATGAATAATGTCGATTTTACAAAATAGTCCTCCAAGTTTTAGGTTGACCGTAGCACACACTGAAACCATTACATAACGATTTAGTTATGATAGACAAGATTAGTTAAATGTAACTGTAAAAATTATTATATAAGAATTATACCCATTATTTCAGAATGTATAATTTGAGGATGGGTGTACCTTATCCCTGATCCAGTCAGTAACATCATTAATATAAGATCAGGTATAAAGGATATGATTCGGAAAGGGATAAATTTTCAGAATGAAACTTAGAAAGGACAACCTTAAGATGTTTCTGCATCATTTCGAGTAGTATGAAGCGACTTTACTTAACATCTTCAACTGTTAGTCATAGCAATTTTCCCAGGTGCATCCAAATAATGTGTTCTCTCAAATTCTAATCTTTTAAAATTACTCATCACCCTTATCTTTCTCATTTATCTCACTGAATGATATCTTCAACCCCCTAATCTTCTCCATTACCGCTAATACTTCTAATACCTCTACTACTAGGGGATTTGAATTGACAATCCGATCTGTGTGTGCTAATGTAGTACGGCAACCTAAACCGATGTACGTACGTACATACGAAGTTCTACGTTGTAACTGACAGAATCTGCCTTCACCAATATAGCCTCCTAGTCCAGCAGTAAATGACTTCATGGATTCTCAATGAGTATATTGAATTATATTTGCCAGTATATACTAAGTTTGTGGTGGTGTTTCGTTCTCTGAGCTGGTTGTTTTGGTTGTGGAGCTTTCATTGTTCTTCTGAACATCATCATCAGCACAGACTTCAGATAGCAGAAGTGAAGCATTCGAATTTCTCCACGTTTGACCTGTAGCTTGTTCTGCTAACCTCGATCTTGATTGGTTTCTTGATCCTGTGTCACCTATGATCAAAAGGGGGGTGCAATCAAAATAAAGTTGCAAACAACGACAGGTCAAAAGTCAACAACAACCAATCAAGATCGAGGTTAGCAGAACAAGCTACAGGTCAAACGCGTGGGGAAATTCGAATGCCTCACTTCTATCTGAGGTTTGTGCTGCTGATGTTGTTCAGAAGAACAATGAAAGCTCCACAACCAAAACAACCAGCTCAGAGAACGAAACACCACCACAATCATCCACCTGAGCTACAAGTTTTCTGCACCATCTCAATATACTAAGTTCGCCTATAGACTAGATGCTACGTATATCGCTTGGAAATTCATCGACACAGTGCGATTTTTATTTGTGAAGTCAGTAATAAGTCCCTTTTTTACTTACAGTAATAAGTGTGTATTCTCATACAATGTACCGTTCGGATTAGATTTTTGTAATAAACTAGTGAAGCTATTCATGACTCAAACTTTTGATAACGCCAACTTAAATTCAGGTATTTTTCTCAAACACATAATCGTATTCGGATTTATTCATAATATGGCGAAGGCGAGATATCCGTTTGCTGACTAAAAGACGAGTGTACTGCGCAGCAGTTTGCTCCGTCTTACTTTATGGCTGTGAAACATGGCCAATGAGAGTAGAAGATATTCGTAGGTTACTGGTTTTCGATCATAGGTGTCTTCGAAGCATTGCTCGTATATCGTGGGACATCCGAGTGAGCAACGCTGTTATTAGGAAACGGGTGCTAGGTGAGAATGGCAGATCAATAGACTCAGTAGTGACACTTCATCAGTTGAGGTGGTTGGGACATGTGTTGCGTATGCCCAATCACCAACTGCCTCGACGAGCTTTGTTTTTGTAGTGTAGGAATAGGTTGGAAGAAAGTTAGAGGCGGTCAGACCAAAACATGGCAGAAATCCATGAAGTCATTGACAAGTGGACTTAGCGATGTAGGTAATTGTCGACTACCTGGTTGGGGTCCGTGAGATGATAATAATCGATGGTTAGAGACCTTGAATGACATGGCTCAAAATCGTTTGCAATGGCGCCGGTGCATTTATTCTTTGTGTTCTCTCAAATCCTAATCTTCTGGATTCTTCAACACCTCTAGTTTTGACTTTCTAGACTTTTCTCACTGAATCATATTTCTTGAATATCTTCTAATCCTAACCTTTGCGATTACTTCTAATACCCTTACTAACTCTTCTACTGTGCTGATGTGGTATGGCGACGTGAACTGATGTACTTGCGTACGAAGGTCTACGTTGCATCTGACTGACTGGTTTATTCATAACATAATTCCTATCATAACATTTAAAAACAAAAAACTGTTAGCTCGATTATTTGGTAAATAATAATGTTTGTAATCGCTCTCAGTGAGTCAGTCAGTCTGTTACAACGTAGAACTTAGTACATACATACGTTCATCAGTTCAGGTTGTCTGTCATACCACCACATTAGCACAGAGACACAATTTTCAGTTCAAATCCCATAGTGGCAGAGAATGGTAGATATATTTGTATTTGTTCTATGTAGACTACTTGTATGTGTGTGTGTGCGTGTTTGATTAACCTGTTCTCCATCTATTTTTTTTTCAGCATCCTCCTTACTTCCACAAATCGGTTCACTGACTAGTAGTGGAATTGCTGCTTCTTCAAATCCGACTGCTACAACCACAAGTTTAATTAAACCAATCTTTGGATTTCAATCATCACTGGCTACTACTTCAACAACAAGTTCCATTGGTAAAATAGGACTATAAATTTTTAGTGTAAAGAGATTGATGATGATCACTTTTAGCATTTTTGGATTGAAAGTAAATGTTGGAAATTTTGTTTTTAGATTTATTTCAATGTATCTATTAATTTTTACATTCTGACAGAATTGTGTAACAATTGTATGTATATATATATAAATCTTTCAATATCAATGAATGCTTATTTTATTTAAAAAAATGGGTATTTTTACTTTTGCATGTTCGTTAAAAGAAACTTAGGCAGAGTTAAGGTAGCATCGGGATTCAAGATACCGACTGTGGTTTAGTCGACCAATTTATACGCTCTGTATCCCGTAATTAATGTGAGCAACTGGAAACCATTAGTTTTAGTCGTCAGCCAATCAGTCAGTTACAACGTAGAACTTCGTACAGAAGACGTACATCATTTCAGGTTGTCATACCACATTAGCAGCACAGAGACGCGATTCTCGATTCAGATCCCCATATTAGTAGAGGTAAAAAAAAAACTAATAGCAGTAATTAAAAAGATCAATGATCGAACATTCGAGATGTATAACCCAGAGGAATCAGAGAAAAAAACAGTTGAGGAATTCACAAGATTAAGTTTTTTGAGAGAAAACAAAAAATGGATGCACCGGCGCCATTGCAAACGGTTTTAAGCTATGTCATTCAAGGTCTCTAACCATCGATTACTACCACCCAACCAGGTAGTCGGCACCTACCGACATGACTCAGTCCACTTGTCATTGATTTCATAGATTTGTGTCATGTTTTTGGTTTGGCTACCCCTAGCTTTCTTCCAACCTAGACTGCAAGACATACGATGTAAGCCATTAGTTTACATCATATTCATAAGTGTATTGATTGCTCTAGTGTGAGTAGTTATACCTATGCTGTGATTAATTGTCGTCGTTCAACAATAAACGATATGAAAAAGTTAGAAATAATAATAATTGTAATTTAAAAATAAGAGAAATTTGTTTTCCATATATGTAAACAGTAAGTTAATGTACAACAGGATTTAATGGTTCAGCACGCAATTGTGAAAAATCAATTCGTCTGTCTAAATCTTCATCCAATTCGCCGACTACAGCCCTAAAAAAAAGAATAATACAAATAAATCTCTTACACCATGATATGAAAAAAAAATTGATAATTCTGAAACTATAAACACAAGTGTTTATTATCATCACATTGGGACTTACACATTCTGTCCTCGAATAATAAATAAACCCAATGGAACTTGTTCAACACCTTCGGATGGACTGAAAACTCTTTCATGACTATCTTTGATAACAAGATTGACAACATTGTCAAAACCTTTTAATGTACCCTAGAGTAAAGAAGTAATTTCACAATGATTCGTTATTGTTTAAATGAAAACTTAGAATTATGTAAACGTTTTAAACATATTATTCTACGGTTCGCATTTCGTTCATCAATAGACGAAGGCTTTATTAAAATGCACCAGAATAATGTAGACGAGGTTGTATAAACCGAAAGGCTGTCATAGTTTCTTGCAATACATGTTAGTACTAGATGCTTCCAACATAGATAAGAATTAGTTTATTTTATTCAAGGTAATACTCCGAAAGTCTACTACAGGAGTTTGAGTAGGAGACTATCCAAACGGCATAAAAGGATAGTAGTAGTTATTCTAGATCAACAACGGATTAACGATGAAGTACTTCAGGAAAAAACCAATAGAGATAACAATGAAAGCAAGAACAACAACAGCTGAACGGATTCAGAAAAAGCTAAGGCACAGACCGAATACAGAGAAACAGCGACTACAGGACAAAATGACAAAGGAAGAAAAACCAAATATCATCTACAAAATTAATTGCTCAAACTGTGAAAAACACTACATACGACAAAGTGGACGATCTCTTCAGCTCCGTTTACGTGAGCATCAATTAGCAGTCAAACGCCACGACAACGCTTCGCTCATATCAATACATACGGACAATTATGGACACACATTTGATTGGAACAATGTGGAAATACTGGGTAGGGGGAGCATCACAAAGAACATTAGAGAATTTTTAGAAGCTTGGCACTCAGGTCAATTAGCAATCAACAAGCACATCAACATTGACCCAATTTATCAACCAATCAGGAAAATCATAGGTGACACAGGATCAAGAAACAGATCAAAAGGGGGATGCAATCAAAACAAAGTTGCAAACAACGACAGGTCAAAGAGAACAGCAATCAATCAAGATCGAGGTCAGAAGAACAAGCTACAGGTCAATCGTGGAGAAATTCGAATGCTTCACTTCTGCTATCTGAAGTTTGTGCTGATGACGTTGTTCAGAAGAACAATGAAAGCTCCACAACCAAAACAACCAGCTCAGAGAACGAAACACCACCACAATCATCCACCTGAGCTATAAGTTTTCTCCGACTACAGGCCTTCCTAAAAATGTTGCCGCCAACAATCGAACAAATAACTATGGACAACAATGAAATTAAGTCTCAAAGAGGTGACATCCGACTACATACAAGCTGAAGCGCACACAAGATTAAAGTAGTTCATTGACTTGACCTCATGATGTCCGAACAATGAACCAACGACATTTACTTTTCCTGTATTTGGAAGCCCGATTGCTACCTCCCACGGCCTCGTTGATGTATCGCGCTAAGTTCTAAAACAAGACTGGCTCTCTGACTGAATCCCAGTGGATAGCCGTTTGTACACTGTCCGACTAAATGGGACAGTAAGGACTCGGAAAGACAGGGATACTCACCGTTGCCTCGGCCTATGCTCCCAATGACTGCGGCTCAGACACGGTAAAGGAGAAATTTCATGAAAAGCTTCTCAACCTCCTTCAAAGAGCTAAGCACTCTGATGCAGTAATAGTGGCTGGTGATTTTAATGCTTAAGTAGGTAGACTAAGCGATCCTGAAGTACACCTGGGTGGATCTTATGTTGTCGCGGCTCATCGAACAGATAACAAATAATAATGAAAATAATCAGTCAGTCGGTTACAACGTAGAACTTCGTACGTACGTACATAAGTTGAGGCTGCTATTCTAGAACAGCACAGCGACGCAATTGTCAATTCAAATCTCATAATGGTAGAGATAATAGAAGTATTAACAGTAATGGAGAAGATTAGGGTTCGAAGGAATTATTCAAGAAGATAAGTTAAGAATGAGAAAGATAGATAGAGGTGATGAGGAATTCAGGAGATTAGAATTCGAGAGAACACAAAGAGTAAATGCACCTGCGCAAACGCTTTTGAGCCATGTTATTCAAAATAAGATCTCCAACCATTGATTACTGTCATCTCGTAGACTCGAACTAGGAAGTCTACACTGACTATTATTATGATGGAGCCTAGTTGTGTCAGTGACTTCATGGATTTGTGCTATGTTTTGGTTTGGCCGACCCGAGATTTCTTTCAACCTAGGGACGCAGTTCTACGTTGTATATCTGACTGATTGGTGAATGATACACACAAAAAATGACGAGACTGAAGATTAACAATAAAATTCTAATTTGTTTCACTAGATTCGAACATTATTGCATAATAATGTCCAACCATTCAATGGTTATATTTCACGAAAACGCACTTCACACCATAATTATTATTAGTACCATTAATCAACAACAGCCCTAGTAAATCGAATATTTATATATATAAACAGTGCATAGGAAAACACTGTGGAGGCTTCTTCGACACTACGGTGTGCCTGAGAAAATAGTTAACATCATACGGAATTCTTATGATGGATTCAACTGCAAAATCGTGCACGAAGGACAGCTAACAGACTCTTTCGAGGTGAAGACCGGTGTCAGGCAAGGTTGTGTACTCTCACCCTTTCTCTTTCTCCTGGTCATCAATTGACTGGATTATGAAGACGTCGACGTCTGGAGGGAAGCACGGTATCAACTGGACAGTTAGGACGCAGCTGGACGATCTGGACTTCGCAGATGACCTGGCTCTTCTATCGCACACGCAACAACAAATGCAAGAGAAGACGACCAGTGTAGCAGCATCCTCTGCAGCAGTAGTAGGTCTCAACATACATAAAGGAAAAAGCAAAATTCTCCGATGCAACACAACATGCACCGACCAAATCACTCTTGATGGAGATGCCTTAGAGGACGTTGACACCTTTACATATCTTGGCAGCATCATCGACGAGAAAGGTGGATCCGATGGAGATGTGGGGGCGCGGATTGGCAAAGCGAGGGCTGCATTTCTACAGTTGAAAAATATCTAGAACTCCAAACAACTTTCAAACAAAACCAAAATCAGGATTTTCAATACAAATTTCAAGACAGGTCTACTGTATGGAGCGGAAAAGTGGAGAACTACCAAAGCCATCATCCAGAAGATACAAGTGTTTATGAACAGTTGTCTACGCAAAATACTTCGTATTCGTTGGCCAGACACCATCAGCGACAACGAACTGTGGGAGAGAACAAGTCAGATTCCAGTGGAGGAGGAAATCAGGAAGAAGTGGTGGAAGTGGATAGGACACACATTGCGGAAAGCACCGAACTGCGTCACGAGACAAGCCCTCACATGGAACCCTCAAGGCAAAAGGAAAAGAGGAAGGCCAAAGAATACATTACGCCGAGAAATAGAGAAAGATATGAGAGGAATGAACAAACATTGGACAGAACTGGAGAGGGAAGCCCAGGACAGATTTGGTTGGAGAAAACTGGTGGGCGGCCTATGCTCCATTGGGGGTAACAGGCGTAAGTAAGTGAGTAAGTAATATATGTATAAACACATATAATTTAAAATATTTCACTTACCACAATAGTTCTTCCATCTGATGTTATAACATTTACCATTCCTGGTATATTAAAAGATAATGGTTAAAGAAAATACAATTTTTCCGTATAATCAATATACAACATGCGCATGCTCTGATTTACTAGTCTACTCTATACTTGATTTTCTATGTACCTTCTGTATAAGCACGGAGTGTATATATGCAATAATGAATTTTAAAAATTGCTCAAATTTATTATGAAATAAGGATAGAATAATAAATAACTGAAGTAAGAAAAAAGTAACTTGACTGACAGCACTGATACAGAAGGCTCGATTGACTTTTGCCAACCTGCGTCACCTATGGCGCAGGCGAGATATCCTCTTGCTAAGCAAAGGACGAGTGTACTGTTCAGTAGTTCACTCTATCCTACTATACGGATGCTAAACATGGCCGTTAAGAGTAGAGTACATTCGTAGGTTACTAGTCTTCGATCATCGATGTCTCCGAAGCATTGCTCGTGTATCATGGGACAACCGTATAAGCAATGCTGTCGTTACGAAACGAGTTCTGGGAAGGGATGGCAGATCAATAGACGCAGTAGTGACACTTCATCAGTTGAGGTGGTTGGGACATGTGTTACGTATACCACCGACAGCCTCGACGAGCTATGTTCTGTGGAGTAAGAGTAGGTTGGAAGAAAGTTAGGGGTGGCCAAACCAAAACATGGCAGAAATCCATGAAGTCACTGACAAGTGGACTGAGTCATGTTGGCAGATGTAGACTAACTGGTTGGGGTCCGCGTGACGATAGTCACCAATGGTTAGAGACCTTGAACGACATCGCTCAGAATCGTTTGCAATGGCGCAGGTGCATCCACTCTTTATGTGCTTTTTAATTCTAACCTTCTGAATTCCTTATAATCTCCATCTTTGTCCTTCTAAATTTATCTCACTGAATTATACTTCTTGAATAACATCTTCGCTCCCTAATCTTCTCCATTACTGCGAATACTTCTACTATCACTATCACTCTTGGATTTGAACTGACTTATGCCTCTCTGTGCTGATGTGGTATGGCAACCTGAACTGATGTACTTATATACGATAGTCCTGTGTTGTATCTGTCCGTCTGTCTGTCATAGAATACTACTACTGTAATGATGTGATCGATTACGAATCAATACACTTTAAATTTTTTAGTTTTTTTTTGTTCTTAATCGACAACAATAAAGGATACGACCAACATATGCTTCTAATTCAGATGCCATAAGTTCAGTGTACCTGAAAATTGAGAATACACACAAATTATGAAATATGTTGAAACACTGACATCTAGAAAAATAAAGTACATAACATATTTTATTTTGGCAGTCAGAATATACAAGCATAACTTAGATTAAGTGTAAGTGAGACCAACAGTTCTGGGTCCGCGATTCGCGCGTACTGTGTGTGTCAGTAGATGGGCAATGCCAATGAACCGGCATAATAAAACGAAAAAGAAAACGGCCGTCTAAATTTTCAATGATGATCTAATGTAGATAGATAATGAATTATTTACATGATTTTAATAAAATTTAACAATCTCCACATTCCTTTATATTATTAGATAGAGTTAGTTATAACATCTATTATGAAAATACGATTCTACTAAATAAAATACCCATTGAATAACGATCAATAAATACTTTTCCTTTCCATCTGTCACAAAGGTCATATTGAATTGAAACACGTGTACAGTGGTGTCACTGTTGCAATCGTACAGTGAGAGGAAATTATCAAAATGAATAAACGCACATGCTTGATTATAATAACTTCAATGTGCCTAAATTATAAGAAGATCACTAATAATCGCACAATCCTTATTAAACAAGTAATTTGTGCCTACCGACATGTATCAATCAGATTACCGGTTGATAAGTTTATAGACAGATGCTCAAATATTCATTTATTTGGCCGCATCTAACTTGATCTTATCTATTCTTACGCTTCTATAACTCTATGATGCGAAAAAGTACAATGTGCTCACTGGAGTGACTAGCTTCGTGAGGAAATTCTCGGAGTTCTATCCTATCGAATGTAGGCAGTAACTGCCGAAGACAAATGGGTGAGGTCGCGCAAAATCCCTAGATTGACCAGAGTTAGACATTAACATCGTTGGATGCCAGTCCATTTGTCCAGAGGTTAAGCGTTCACGCGCAAGACCAAAGGTCAGGGTTCGAATCTTGTAAGTACTAGGAGTTGTGGATACGCATTTCTGATGAGTCACATATCAGGACGAAACGGCTGTCTAGTTGTTCTAAGTTTCTAATAGTGGTCTAACAATCATTGATTCATGATTTTAGTAATGAGAAAAATATTAGTTCAAAATTAGGGTACTGAAAGAAACAGCATTTTATTGTTTCAAAAGGATTTATGGTAATCTAGAAGATATTATTGAAGAAGTATGATTCAGTGAGAAAAGTTTAGAAAGTCAAAACTTGAGGTGTTGAAGAATCCAGAAGAATAGGATTTGAGAGAACACAAAGGACAAATGGACCTGCGTCATTGCGAACGATTTTGAGCCATGTCATTCAAGGTCTCTAACCATCGATTATTATCATCTCGCGGACCCCAACCAGGTAGTCGACAATTACCGACATGGCTAAGTCCACTCGTCAATGACTTCATGGATCTCTGCCATGTTTTGGTCTGGCCGCCCCTAGCTTTCTTCCAACCTACTCCTACACTACAAAACATAGCTCTTCGAGGCAGTCAGTGGTTAGGCATACGCAGGCAGAATATCTATTGCACACGGTTAGACTATGTAACTAGCAAACTTGAAGAATGGAATCATTTAAAAATCAAGTAACCCAACCGAATAATTTGAAAGATAAAGTAAGTAAGCTTAATATAATGGCACAACATATAAGCCATTAGTAATTATTGTTAGCTCAGTTCACATGATAGCAACAAGATGTGAACTGACTACCATCCTACCGTAGCTGCTACCTTGACGCGGTGGTCGGGCTTACCCATCGTGATGATCCAACCCACTTACATTGGCTGGAACATATGTTCTTGTAGGTTTTACCATGTAAAGCTGGTCGATTCGAGGACTATGAAACTAAAAGCAGCTACTCAAGGTATGAGGGCGAAGTAGTACTGTTTAGTGACTATAGACGGGTGTGATGGCAGTAAGGTGTTTCCCTCAGACTACCAGCATCTCCAGCGATGCTGACTTCTCACACGGACGGAAGGGGCCAGAAAAGGGCAACCCTAAAAAGGTCACGAAACGTCGAGTCATCATTAGAGTATACATGTTTGCATTCAAAGCAATCAAAATTTCACCCACTCTATTTCGTATGTTTGACATTTAATTTTCTGTTAAGCTCGTCAATTTATATGTTTGAACTATTACGAGTTCACCTTACTCGGTAAATGAGAGCGAAGACAAATGATCTAGTGACACGATAGGCGGTATTAAGAAGTCTTGATGTGGCGTAGAAATTGTATTCTACAAGCACTCAGAAAATATGAGGTCAACAAGCACACAAATCGAGTTTACTTATACATGATAGAAACGTTCTTGAGGGAGCCACAAAATTTGCGTACTAAAAAAAAACACATCAACACATCAATGACAGTCAATGATGATTTCCCGAATGGGAAATATGACCTCAGGGTCAAATGATCAGCTCATGCTCAAAGTGAGTTCTGGGGATCTAACATCTCTAACATTATTATGTTCAGACAATCGAAGGAACTTTCATTTCAACCTTCATAGAAAATTCTTTAAAGTCTAAAAATAAACCTGTACTTCGAACCTCAGTTACTTTTAATCGAATAAATATATTCACAGTAACATTCTGAATACTTTATACAAATGACAAGTCGACAATTACACTTGTTGAACAATACCGATTCAATAAATTTAACATTTGTATGCATATGAAACAGTCAGTCAGTCAGATGCAACGTAGAACTTCGTACGTAAGTACATCAGTTCATGTTGCCATACCACATCAACACAGAGATGTAATTGTCAATTCAAATCAAATAGTAGAAGAGGTAGTAAATGTATTAGGAGTAATCGGTTAGGATTAGAAGATATTATTCAAGAAGTATGATAAAATGAAGCAACATTTTGCATTTCGAGGGGGAAAACCGCATCCCGAACATGCTTGCATTGTTGCTTAGGGTGGTCAGAAGACTCTGCATTTTGTCAGCATCTTCACCAATAGGACAATGTCATCGGCATATTCTACATCAATTAGCGAGCCACCTGGTAGAAGGTCTACTCCAGAAAATTCAGACGAGGATAATGTTATTTCTAGGAGCATGTCTATGATAAAATTAAACAAAAATGGAGAAAGTGGACGTCCCTGACGGACACCACTTAACGTAAGGAATTCCGGTGACAGTTCGCCATAAGCTCTCACTCGACCAGTGGTGTTCGAGTAAAGAGCTTGTATAAGGTTAATGTACTTCTCTGGTACACCTTTCAATGACAGACACTGCATATGAAACAATATAGCCATGAATTTATTATTTGTAGAATCAGAGAAGAAATTCACTGTAAAATAATTATTATTCACTTTAAATGCCAACTTTCGCTTCCTCTGTCTTTAAAAAAAAAGCAAGCAAGATAGTCGTCAATGCTCTATCGATTAGTCATAACACAATGTAAAATAGAGTATAATGAAATCATGAATCAATCATTATTATTAGGGCATCATTAGAAAGAAATCGGAAAGCACTAGACTGCCGTTTCATCCTGGTACAGGGACTTATCAGCAATTGTGATGGAGTATCGTTCTCTGAGCTGGTTGTTTTAGTTGTGGAGCTTTCATTGTTCTTCTGCTGCTGAACAACATCATCAGCACAAACTTCAGATAGAAGAAGTGAAGCAACTTTGTTGCAAACAACGACAGGTCAAAAGGCAACAACAACCAATCAAGATCGAGGTTAGCAGAACAAGCTACAGGTCAATCGTGGAGAAATTCGAATGCTTCACTTCTGCTATCTGAAGTTTGTGCTGATGATGTTGTTCAGTAGAAGAAGAACAATGAAAGCTCCACAACCAAAACAACCAGCTAAGAGAACGAAACACCACCACAATCATCCATCTGAGCTACAAGTTTTCTCCACCATCTATCTCACTTATCAGCAATGCGCACGAATCGAACTCTCAGGATCTTCGGTCTTGTGCGTGAATGCTTAACCTGTAGAGGCCACTGAGTCAGTGGGCATCTAACAGTGTAAGCGTCAATCTAAATATGTTGCGCAACCACAGGTTATAAAAATCTCCATTGACTGAGATTTTTTGTGGACAGAAAACAGAAGCAAATTTTCAAAATTAATAAAAAATACAGTCGCCCTGAAATCATCCAGTAACAATTCAAATACACAGACACACACACACATACATGTAGATCGAATTATATCAAAAAACAAGTAAAGTATACTTTAGGAAAAAAACAATTTTTATCTACAATTACAGATTATTACTATTTATATACAAGGGAATTCAATATATATATATATATATATATATATATATATATATATATATATATAGAGAGAGAGAGAGAGAGAGAAAGAGATCAATATACATGAATACACAAATTAATTAACATGGTTTCTTCACAGGCGTTTCACGTAACCATCGTTTATAGATTTTATAAAATTTATAAAATGAACGGATAGCATTTGGAGCAACATAAAATCCACCAGTTTTTGACGCTGGAACAGCTGAACCATCTATTGTAAAATATAGAGAAATAAAGTAAGAATTTGTCATTAGTTATAAATGGCTGGTTTATAGAGAGAGATTGTTTAGCTTCAAAAATAAAACTATATTACACAATCACTTTAAGGAAAACAAAACCTATTGAAAATTGAATAGTAACATTGAATGTGTTGTTGTTGTCGTAAGATGTACATTGTCAGATGGTGTCAGGTGGTGATAGTAGACACTTTGTTAGGATATTATTCAGCAAATATCCTAAGAGTACTTACTATCTTTGGAAGTATAATCCTATTGATCGATTTCTATTGGTCAAAATTATGGTCGTTTTAACACTGTCAAAGTCAAATACTTCAATGTTATCTCTTATTGGTCATCCGGACTGTCAATGTCATTTCAAATGTTCTTTCCTATTGGTCGTCGTCCTAAACTGTCAATGTCACAGACTTTGATGCTCTTTCTTATTAGACCTAAATGTATAAATATGCACTATCTGTAAGAATTCATGATTCCGATTCCGTTCCTTCCTGCCTACCACTCTACCGTACTCGACCTAATAAACAATTCCATCCAACGGGGTTGCGTTCTGATATATAGGAGATTTGCGGAATAGTATTTGGGTCGTATTGGAATATTTGAATTCGGACGTGGGTAGGATTTGAATAGTTACGTAGCAGCATTATAACACACTTACACGCAAAGCAATGACAAGTATCACACACAAAAAAACATGCTATCCCTTCTGAACACTACTGGATTCTTATGCATAATTTATCGCTAACAACTTCTGTCGATTTGTGACAATTTATGACAGTATCATTTATTCTCGTTGGTAATACCTAACTTGATTTTAACGTGATTCTATTTCATTAGTCTCACTACAACTTCCAGATATCTTTATTAGGACGTGCGTCATTCTCTTTGTAGCTGTGCAGTCCAATTTATTGTCCATAAGTTTATTTACAGCATTTTGAATGAAAATTTAAAAAAATTTATGAGAGAAAATTTATCATTAAAGATTATGACTCGATGATAGAATGTGAGGCGCATTTGCAGAGACATGTCAAACAAGTGTTAAACAAACGCCCTATTAAATTTCCCAATCGACTAGCAGTCGAACACAACTCTCGCTAAAATATTGGATAGGTAAAATGAAAAGAATGCTTGGAAATTCTTAGAGGTATGACACTCTCGTAACATATCAATTAGAGGATATGCCTTCAGTCAGTTAGTCAGTCAGTTGCAACGGAGAACTTCGTACGTATGTACATAAGTTCATGTTGCCATACCACATTCGCACAGAGATGTAAATGTCAAATCAAATCCCATAGTGATAAAGATAGTAGAGGTATTAATGTTAATAAAGAAGACTAGGGTTCGAAGATATTAGTCAAGAAGTATAATTCAGTGAGATAAGGTTAGAAAGACAAAGGTAGTGGTGCTGACGAATCCAGAAGATTAGGATTTGAGAGAGCTCAACGAATGGATGCACTTGCGCCATTGCAAACAATTTTGAGCCATGTCATGCAAGGTCTCTAACTATTGGTGACTTTCGTCTCGCGGACCTCAACCAGGTAGTCTACATCTACCAACATGACTCAGTCCACCTGTCAGTGACTTCATGGATTTCTGTCATGTTTTGGTTTGGCCACCCCTAGCTTTCTCTCAGCCTACTACACCAGGCTATCAGCGCCGATGAGACTCCCCAGATAAGTGGAGTGATCAATACACCCGACTACTTCACTCCCTATCACTAGTTCAGGTGCCCATGCAACCCAGTCGTGAGCAAAACTTTGCATTTCGAGGAGGAAAACCGCATCCCGAACATACTTGCAATGTTGCTTATGGTAGTCGGAGGATATGCCTTATAAGTGTTAAATCAACGCCCTATTCAATTTCCTAGTCGCTTCTAATAAAACCAGGCTAAATCTATACGATAAGTTGAACACAAGAGAAAAGGCATAAAATGTAAAAATAACGCTTTACTTTAAGGTTAGCTCATGTAGAGAAAAGCTTTCTGTAAGACTCGTCTCTTACCTCGTCTAAGCTGCAGTCAGTAGCAGCGTAGGCAGAGACAACAAAGAGGCGATGGTGGGTTTCCCTATCTGTACGAGTTCTTACTGTCCCATTTAGTCGGACAGCTCATGAGCAACTGTCTAACGGTCACTCAGTTACAACATAAACCTTCGTACATACGTACATCAGTCCAAGTTGGCAATAACAGATTAGCACAGCGACGCAATTGTCACTTCAAATCCCATAATACTAGAGGTAGTTGAAGTATTAGAAGTAATCAAAAAGAATAATGACCCCACTGTCTACTGGGATCCAGTCTAAGAAAGCTAGTTCAGCCTTAGAACTCAGTGCAATACCTACACCAGCGAGGCCACGGGAGGCAGCAGTGGGGCTTTCAGATACGCGAAACGAAAATCGAGTTGGTTTTTTATCTTGACAAGGAGAGTTCAAATGAATGATTCTACTCAGAGCTTGTATGCACGTTTCGGAGATGCTGCATAAATCGATTGCACGAGATTCTAGAGCACTAGCTAAGGAAGCTTGTTGCCCTATTTGACACAAGGTTCGAAGATTAAAAGCTCCGACATGAAGAATGGAGTGTGGTTTCAAAAAATCAGAAATAACGTTTCGTGTACTCAAGTTGTTGGCATCGGCGGTGCCAGGTGATAAAGATATACGAGAATGGTTAGTTGTGGAAACGGGAGAGTTACTTATGATCAATTGGCGGTTGAGGTCGACGCCCTTTCAAAACGGCCATAAATCAGCCCTGTAACGTTCCAGAAGGTGGCCACTACAACAGTAGAGAACGACAGTCATGATGCAAGCTAACCTCAGGAACGCACGTTATTAAGAGGACGAGGTAAGTTGGAGACGTTAGATCACCAGAACTCATTTGGTAAAGGTACTAGATTTTTGATTTATTCCCGGAATTTTGAATTTCTGTGTTTCCGCGCCAAAGACGTTTAGTTGACCTACAACTTACATTTCCCACTCGGAAAATCCTTGAATCTCATTGGTTGATTGATCATTATAGTAAGCTATGTTGTGGCTCTCATCAATGGCGTTTAATCGTTGTATAAATGAGCTTCAGTGTTAGGATATTCATCCAATATCCTAAATGAATTATTGGTTAATTCCTATTGGTCAATTTTATGGTCGCCCTAGATATTAATGTCATGTACTTCAATGTTATTTCCCATCGGTTGTCCTGACTGTTAATGTCACTTAAAATGTTGTTTCCTATCGGTCGACTTAACTGTCAATGTCATAGGCTTCGATGCCGTTTCCTATTCCACCTAAATGTATAAATATGCATTATCTGTGACGTTTTACGACCCGGACCTGGACCCGGATCCCTAATCCAGGATCCTGATCCTTTTCTGCATTCGGACCTCATACTTTCTGGATACTTGTAGAATACATGTTCCACTTCATATCAAGTCTTCTTCTTTTATTCAATGGTCGTTCGGAAACTCGGATTAGATTAGCCTGTCGTGTCATCGGATCCTCGATCTTCGCTCTCGTTTTCCGACTAAGGCAAACTCGTAAAATAGTTCAAGCAAATCATCAAGTTGACGTGTTTACGTGCATGTGTAGCATTCAGTTGTGTGCTTGTGGACCTCGTATTCACTCGGTATATTCTCCCTACGCCTTATCAAGACTTCTTCCTTTAGTCATCTAGGCCTGGGTCAATCGGAATGAAATAGCTTATTATCGTATCGTATCACTCAATCATTTGATCTTTTCGTTGCGCTAACCAAAATAAGGTGAACTCATAAATAATAACTGCAAGTGGCATATCACTATTACTTTCGTCAACAACTTATACTCACCTTTTGGAATTACACCTTTCACTAATAGCTCACGAAATAAACCAATATCTATATCAATAGCTGCAATAACACGACGATCTAATTCAAATCCATCAAATTGATGATTATTATGATCCACTGGACTTGTGGATGATGATGATGTCGATGATGAGGATGATGATGATACATGACGTTTTGACATGAACGACTTTTTGCCAGATGTTAATTCATCGACATGATTTGAATACATCATATAATTAATAACGAATGCTTTCAACTCCCAATCAAAACCAGATGTTGATAGTAATGTACTGAAGAATGTAAAACTTGGTCGAAAAATTGGTTTGTAAATTTTTTGTTCATGCAGCAATAATGATCCACTGTCAGTGGATGGTAATGAAGGAGTTGTAGCAGCAATCTCGTAACCATGTAAAAGTTGTTTAACTGATTCTTTTGTATGACAACCTCTAGCTAAACAACCCCATGTAATCTACACGCGAAAGACAGACAGAAAAGAAAAAACACATTCATTCATTATTATGTTAACGAGCTTTCGCATTTTTGTTTTTCACAAAAAATTAGTCACTTCATAAATAACCACAAATAGCTTCCCTAAAACTTACTTTTACGCCAGAAGATATTACACTAAATCGTAACATTGAATAGAGGGTAATACAATAAGTCAGTCAGTCAGTCAGTTACAACAATGTAGAACTTCGTACGCACGTATATTATTAGTTCAAGTTGCCAAAAACACATTAGCACAAAGACGTGATCATCAAGTCGAGGTAGTACAAGTATTAGCAATGATCGAAGAGAATAAGGTTAGAAGATATATTATTCACCAAGAATAATTTAGGTAATTTGGGTATGTTACGGGTATCAGGGCTGATGTCACTTACCGGCTGTCCACACCGTGGAGAGGTGTTTCTTGAAGAACCTGAAAAGGAAAGTAAATTAGTGTTGTTCTTAAACAGCTGAGAGCATAATCGCAGAGCCCAAGGGACAACCGCTTGAGTCCGGTCACGCACGGCCTTTTTATGAAAGGTTTTTTGAGTATTAGCTCCGCTCTTTTAAAGCCCTTATTGGGAAGCCCTTATCGCCGTAGACGGAAATCCGTGAGGTAAGATTAGGTGTCATATTTTTAGGGTCGACCTTTTCCAACCCTTCCATCGGTTGAGAGAAGGTAGCATCGCTGCAGATGCTGGTTGTCTGAGGGAAACACCTTACTGCTGTCACACCCCTCCATCACAGTCAGCAGTACGACTTCGCCCTCAGATCTTGGGTAGCTGCTTCTAGTCTCATCGTTCTCCAATCGACCTGTTTGGCATGGTAGAACCTTCAGGAACATATGTTCCAGCCAATATAGCTCGGTTGGGTCATCACGATAGATAAGCCCGACCACCACGTCAAGGTAGCAGCTTCGGTGGAGAATCTAGGTAATACAGCATTCATTAAACTAATATATTCATGGTGAAACATTGGTGAAGCGAAAATTTGAAGATTAAAGCACACACATAACCTGCTGCTAATAGGAAACACCACAATCATATTTCACCTGAATTACAAATTTTCTCCACCATCTTAACACGTTTGAAGTCTACCTACCAAGTTCCGTCTAATCACATGAGTGTCAACATGATACACAGTAAAATTTTACATGATGTAGAGCTCAGATATTTCGAGCACATTAACATGTACTTGGTAAATTAACTACAATATTACACCGCATTTGATTTTGACCAATTCGGTCTTGTGTGCTGTTACGGGTATGAGGGAGGATGTCTCACTTCATGGCTGTCCAAATCGAGGAAGGGTGTTTCTTGGAAAACCTGAAAAGGAAGGTAGATTATACTTCTTGAATAACAAATCTTCGAACCCTAATCTTATCCATCACTGCTAATACTTCTACTATCTCTACCACTATGGGATTTGAAGTGACAGTGGCATCTCTGTGCTAATGCGGTAAGCCAACCTGAACTGATGTACTACGTACGTACGAAATTCTACGTTGTTGTAACTGACTGATATTACACCGGAATCGTTTCATCAAAAACTGCTTACTATCTATCATCTATCAAAAAAAAAAAATTAAACTGATGAGATCAGAAATGCAAAATATTGCTTCAAGATTGGGTTGCATCGGCACCTGAACTAGTGATAGGGAGTGAAGTAGTTGAGCGTGTCGACCGCTTCACTTATCTCGACAGTCTCATCAGTGCTGATGGCCTGGTGACTGATGGAATCACAGCTCGGATAAAGAAGGCTCGATTAGCTTTTGCCAACCTGCGTCACTTATGGCGTAGAAGAGATATCCGTTTGCTGACTAGAAGACGAGTGTACTGTGCAGTAGTTCGCTCCGTTCTCCTATATGGCTGTGAAACATGACCAGTGAGAGTAGAAGATATTCGTAGGTTACTGGTTTTCGATCATAGGTGTCTTCGAAGTATTGCTCGTATATCGTGGGACACCCGAGTGAGCAACGCTGTTATTAGGAATCGGGTGCTAGGCAAGAATGGCAGATCAATAGATGAAGTAGTGAAACTTCATCAGTTGAGGTGGTTGGGACATGTGTTGCGTATGCCGAACCACCGACTACCTCGTCGAGCTTTGTTTTGTGGTGTAGGAATAGGTTGGAAGAAAGTTAGGGGTGGCCAAATCAAAACATGGCAGAAATCCATGAAGTCACTGACAAGTGAGCTGAGTCATGTTGGTAGGTGTCGACTACTACCTGGTTGGTGTCCGCGAGATGATAAGAATCGATGGTTAGAGACCCTGGATGACTTGGCTCAGAATCGTTTGCAATGCCACACGTACATACATACATTCTTTATGCTCTCTTAAATCTTATTAACCTTCAGAGTTTCGCATTATCTTTATCTTTTTTCGTTTTAAGTTTATTTCATTAGATTCAACTTATTGAATCACATATCTTCAAACACTAATCTCTCCGATATTGGCTAATACTTGTACTTTTTCTACTACTATGAGGTTATTTGAATTGACCATTGCATCTCTGTGTTCTATCTAATATGGTAATGGCAACTTCACAACGGATGTACTTACACATTTGAAATCCTCAATCAATCATTGTTGGACCATCTTTAGAAACCTGGAAGCACTGAAAGACGGCCGTTTCGTCCTAGTATGGGATTCCTCAGCAGTGAGCATCCACGACTCCTGCTCCTCACAGGATTCGAACCCGGGACCTTTGGCATTGTAGGCGAACGCCTTACCATCGGACCACTAGGCCGGCATCCAACGGTGTTAATGTCTAACTCTGATTGATCTAGGGATTTTGCGCGACCTCACCCATTTGTCTTTGGTAGCCTACACCCGACATGCTTGAACTCCAACTCCACTGGTCACGTCTTCTAAACTAGAATTCCGAGAATTTCCTCACGAAGCTAGTCACTAGTGAGCAAGCACTGTTACGATACTTTGGGGCACAGTTTTGGAGGTTTGCGTTTTTACACATTTGAAATCCTCAATCAATGATTGTTGGACCACCATTAGAAACCTGGAAGCACTGGACGGCCGTTTCGTCCTGGTATGGGACTCATCAGCGGCAGTGTGCATCCAGTGCTTCCAGGTTTCTAATGGTGGTCTAACAATGATTGATTGATAATTTCAAATTTGTAAAAACGCAAACCTCCAAAACTCTGCCCCAAAATAATGTACTTATGTGCGAAGTTGATCGATCGATCGATTGATTGACTGATTGATCAGAATTAAAGAAAAAGTATTAAAAAAAAACAAATAAATACATGCTTACTTGATCAGGAATAATTCCTTTACGAGTCATATCAGCTAATAAATAATTCGCATTCACACCATTAGATGTTCTACGATGAATCAATGCATTGTATAATCCAATATCCGGTGTTAATTTACATTTGGCAAGTAAATTGAAAATTTCCATTTCCCATAAATCATAAACATTTTCCATAGAAGAATCAATTGATTTTTGTATTGGATATGGTAAGACAGAAATGATTGCATTGAAAAATTGTATATCAATTTTTAATTGATAATAATTCGCAATGAAATCTAATAAACCATGTAATCCACCAACAAGTGCAAGACGTTGCCATGGATAGAAATTTTGATTTTTTGGTCCACAAATCTAATTAATTAATTAATAATAATAATAATAATAATCAATCACATTTAAAACAGTGAATAAAAAAAGAGACAAGAAAAGAATTTTCAAAATTTTGATTTTCTCTGTATTTATTTCAGTTTAAATATTCTTTACGTTTAAAGGATTGATTGTCCTGACAGACAGACAGACAGATACAACACAGAACTTCGTACATAAGTACATCCGTTCTAATTGCCATACCACATCAGCACAGACATGTAACTGTCAGTTCAAATCCAACAGTGATAGCGATAGTAGAATTATTAGCAGCAATGGAGAAGATTAGGGAACGAAGATATGATTCGAGAAGTATAATAATTCAGTGAGATAAATTAAGAGGGAGAAAGATAGAGATGATGAGAAATTCAGAAGGTTACAATTAAAAAGCACACAAAGAGAGTGGATGCACCTACGCCATTGCAAACGATTCTGAGCTATGTCGTTCAAGGTCTCTAACCATTGGTGACTTTCATCTCGCCGAGCCCTACCAGGTAGCCTACATCTACCAACATGACTCGATCCACTTGTCAGTGACTTCATGCATTTCTGCCATGTTTTGGTTTGGCCACCCCTAGCATTCTTCCAACCTACTCCTACACCACAAATCATAGCTCGTCGAGGTAGTCGGTGGTTAGGCATATGTAACACATGTCCCAACCACATCATTACTTTATCTATTGATCTGCCATCCTTACCTAGAACTCGTTTCCTAACGATAGCATTGCTTACTCGATCGTCCCAGGATATACGAAACGTTGTTCCTGATTGTCATGAGATTCTCTAACTAATGGTTATTGGGGTTTTTGATCTGTAAAGAGAGACCACAGGTATTCAGTGTTTAGAGGAGTCTAACAGTTAAATGAAATATTTATCCAGTACTAATTGGTTTTCAATGGTATGCTAACAAAGATTAATCTGTAATACAGATAAAAACCGACAAATTAAACACTAATTGATAATTCATGATACTTGTGTTACGAATGCGCATAAACATGTCAATTTGATTTGCTTGAACTATTACGAGTTTACCTTAGTCGGGAAACGAGAGCGAGGATCCGATGACACGACAGGCTAATCTAATCCGAGTTTCCGAACGACCATTGAATAAAAGAAGAAGACTTGATATGAAGTAGAACTTGTATTCTACAATCATCCAGAAAGTACGAGAATGAGGATCCTGGACTGAGAATCCAGGTCCGCGTCATAAAACGTTACAGATAATGTGTATTTATACATTTAGGTCGAATAGGAAATAGCATTGAAGTCTGTGACAATGACAGTTAAGTCGACCAATAGGAAAGAACATTTGAAATGACACTGATAGTCAGGACGACCGATGGGAAATAACATTGATAGCTAGGAAGACCATAATATTGACCAGTAGGAATTAACCAATAGAACTAGACTTACAAATAATTCTATTAGGATATTGAATGAAAATCCTAACAACTTGACTAATGTATAAAACATTGACTTCCGAGATGCTTTCTAATTCTCCTTTGAATTCTTCTTTACTTCAGCCATGAACAGGAGAGATGTTGCACAGTGAGAAAACAACATTCATTTCAATGTTTGTTTATGTACAGGAAAAATAAGTGTTTTTGATGTGTGACACAAAATCCGTAGTACTTCTACTAGACCGTTTTTTCTGTGAAGTTTGCATTTAATACAGATGAAAACAAAATGGTTTTCAGATATTTTCTAGCTTTGGAAATTCTTCCATAAAACTCCTAAATTGTATGTGTGTGGAGGAGTACAGAAAATTCATCCGGAGGATACAGAAAACCGACATCGCATAAAGGCGGCTATATGATTCCGAGGGGGCAAATAGAATATAAACATATCCCTAGATTAAGCGACCAGCATGGAAACGCATCTTCTTAGGTCACACTCCACTCACTGCCTTGTGGACTGAACACCTATAGTTGAAAAGCTCAGAGAGTGGCCTCCTAGCACACACACCCAAAATCAATCAATTAATCATTTGTGTAGTGCATGTATTTCTAGTGCTTCTTTACTCTGATGTTTCTATGTGTTTAGATAAAAAAAATACATAATGTGTGTTAGTAACTAATATCAAATGTCTTTGAATTGCAGACTTAATCGGAAACATAAGTGATGGACGACTAAACTGTATTACACTCACTTACTCACTTGGCAAAATAAGTAATTACCACCCATCTATCTCACAGGTTAACTTAACAACCTTTCAATATCGTTGTTGTATTTTTACGCCGCCATAATTATTCAAAGGTGAGTGGGATTCTATTCCAGACAGTTATTTTAGAAGATAGAATGACAATGATGAGATGGCAGAAGATATGATTCAAGAAGTATCATTCAGTAAGATAAATTTAGAAGTAGAAAGACAGAGATTATGAGGAATTCAGATGGTTAAAATTTGACAGAGAACACAATAATAATTACTATGACTTTTAGTTTATTTCAATTCCACTATGAATTTTACTACAGGATAATGCTACACAATTCTATCGGTTATTCAGCCTTATTAGAATACACACACTGTGATAGTTAGTCATTTTGCTGTATTTCCCAGGCATATAGGCTCTCTTGTATATTCTTATCTATCCACACTTGCTTGCATGTGGTTGTCATCACTGAAGCATCGGTTGATGTGTCACAGAGTGGCGATATGAGTTATATGTTAGTAGGTGAAAACGAACTTGCCATTATGGTTGACATGGAAGCTACAATCAATGTGACATGGCTGAGGATATATATTAAAATGGTGCAAACAAATCCACCATCAGTCCCTTCATCTGTACATTTCCACGGTCTTTTCGAATCGTATTGTCCAAGTTGGATACTATTGTTACTTCATTTTGTTAGTGTCATCTCCCTGGCGCCAATGTGTGGTATAACAAAGTGGGCTGTTACGAGACATGCTCCATAATGATTATGATAGACAATTGGTGGCCTGGTGGTAGCTGAAGAGTGTGACACACTCGACCACCATGTCTCACACTTAAACACCGTTCTATCTACTTCAGTTTGAGCATCCAAACCTTTAGGTATGAACTCCTTTCAAAAAAATTTGTCTCGCTTCTTTACATTTTCAACTTTAAGAGTCACAAATCACAACGAATATACCCATCATCTTAATCAACCATATTACTTACTTACTTACTTACTTACGCCTGTTACACCCAATGGAGCATAGGCCACACACCAGTATTCTCCAACCTACTCTGTCCTCAGCCTTCCTTTTCAGTCGTGTACAATTTTTGTTCATTCCTCTCATATCTTTCTCTATTTCTCGGCGAAATGTGTTCCATGGCCTTCCCTCTTATCCTTTTGCCTTCAGGGTTCCATGTGAGGGCTTGACTTGTGACGCAGTTAGGTGCTTTCCTCAATGTGTGTCCTATCCACTTCCAACGCTTCTGCCTGATTTCCTCCTCCACTGGAATCCGGTTTGTTCTCTCCCACAGTACGTTGTTGTTAATCGTGTCTGGCCAACGAATCCGAAGTATTTTGCGAAGACAACTGTTCATAAACACTCGTATCTTCTGGATGATGGCTTTGTTAGTTTTCCAAGTTTTCCGCTCCATACAGTAGTACTGTCTTCACATTTGTATTGAAAATTCTGATTTGGGTGTTGGTTGGTATCTGTTTGGAGTTCTAGATATTGATCAATTGTAGAAATGCTGCCCTTGTTTTGCCGATCCAAGCATTCACATCTGGATCGGATCCACCTTGATTGTCGATTATGCTGCCCAGATACGTAAGGGTTTTCATATCCTCCAAGGCATCTCCATCAAGTGTGATTTGGTTGGCGCATACTGTGTGTTGTATCGGAGAATCTTGCTCTTTGCTTTATATATGTTGAAACCTGTTGCTGCAGAGGCTGTCGTTGCTACACTGGTCGTCATCTCTTGCATTTGTTGTTGCGCATACGATAGAAGCGCCAGATCATCTGCCTTAGTCCAGATCGTCTAGCTGCATCAATCAAAACTTATTTATCGAAAAAAGTAGACTAGACAAAAGGCTAATATTCTACAATTCAATAATTCTTGTTTTAATCTTTACAAAAATTGTTTATATATATAAACAAACATTTTGACATACTACTATTGGTTTATCAGTAGGTGGTAGTAGAACATTTATTGGACTACGAAGGGCTAACATTGTATCATTCCAATCTAATTGATATTCTACTGCTTTTTTCTGAGCTACCAATTCATTATTGGTTGAATTCAATTCCATGACAGATGTATTATTATTATTATTCAATGACACTAGAGATTGTTGTTGAGCTTGTGCAATCATCATTGAAGCGATTTCACTCGATGTACAAGATGGATGTATCAAAAGATTCATAGATTTGGTTGAATTAACCGATTTAAGTATATCTTGAAATGATTTGCAACGTGTGTTATTCACAAAAACCATTTCACAATTACTATGTGTATCAAAACAATCATTTGGTAATGCCATTATTTTAGCTAATAAAGTGAAATGATGCGGAGCAACACTACCACCTATCAATGGAATCAATTCATGCCATAAAGATAAAGCAAGTTGAAATGGGCTAAGATGATGATAAGCAGTATCGTTTGTATTTGTCAACTGTTTTGATGATGTATTATCGTCAGCACCACTTATCATAAGTTGACGGCACCAATGAAGATTTCTTTTCATAGTAGCTGGTACAATAGCAGACAAGATGAATGATAAAGTGAAAGTATTAGGAATTAACCATTTGTTTTTATATTTAGATGATTTTCCAGTAGAATATTCACAATTCTCCGTTGTCATCATCATATCCAATGCACGTAAACAACCGTGAATATCACCAGCTATAATGAAATCCGAAATAATATATAATGTGAAATGTATCAATAGTTGGAATCGAAGACATTTAGTACCAGTGATTATTTGAAAAGTTATTTGATATACTAGTCAACTGATATGCTTGAATGTTATAGCGAGTTCATCTTACTCGGTAAACGGAACGACATGAGCAACGACACAGTGACATGATAGATAGATAGATAGATAGATAGATAGGCTATTCTAATTCGATTGATCCCAGCCCCGGCTAACAAGATCAAGCATTCTTGATAAAGCGTAGAGAGAATGTATTCTACAAGCACCCAGAAAGTACGAAGTCAACAAGTACACAACTCAAGCTTATTTATACAATGATAGAAACGCCCCCGGGTAGGGTCACAAAATAGCGTACTAAAATAATCCATCAACCAATGATAAGTCAGGGGGGATTTTCCGCAAGGAGCTTTTCCATGTGAGTAGTTCTGGGGATTGGATGTCCCCAAGTTATCGTTTATTCTCCCGATTACCTAAAACATTTCAAATATTTCTGATGATATCATATTACTCAGAAACAACATTTGAGAGCATCGTTTCTAGATTATGTATTGGCTTTCTTTGTTATATCTTAGCATTTGGAGTTCAATATAACTGTAGAATACTTGTGGAATTGAGAAAAGTTGAACAACTCCATATATATGGATCGGTTCTACGGCAATTAACGCACAGTGCTTACTTGGTCGCTAACATATGTAGATAACGAGTTGTAAGAAACTTAGAATTCGCAGAACACAACAGACGGTACAACTCCGTATATAATGCGCTAACAGAAAGATGATCTCCAAAGACACAGAAAACTAGTGAACTGAAAGTATTGAGAACAATTCAAAAAAACGCGAAATTGAGTTACAGAAAAATTAGTTGCGGTTACCGTCCCTAGTATTGTTGACAAACATAATTTAGTGTAAATCATCTAACTCTTAATGAAGTTGAAAATGCCATAAGAAATCTCAGACGAGGGAGAGCAGCGGGTCCTAACCCCCGATATTTTTAAGGATGGTGGTTCAGTTTTAGCACCTGGATTAACTGAGATCTTAGGTAGAACTTGAGAAATGGACGTAATCCCATCTGACTGGTCTCAATCCCTAATTGTCCCAGTATCTGAATTGTTAGCCTCGATTATACTTAGACTCCTAGAGCTAGAACTCGTGAAGAGCAGACTCGAGAAAACCAGGCTGGTTCTCGACCTGGACGTGGATTTATAGACGAAATATTCACACTAGGTCAGGTCCTAGAACATAGACAAACGTTCAGACGCCCCACAATAATAGTATTTCTCGACCTTAAGGCGGCATTCGACCCTGTCGAATGCGAGGTTCTGTGACAGTATCCGTCGTTAAAAGGTGTACCGAAGAAGTACATTAACAAGGCTCTCTACTCAAACACTACCGGTCGGGTGAGGGCGTATGTTGAGGTGGTTGGGACATATGTTACGAATGCCCAACAACCGACTGCCTCGATGAGCTATGTTTTGTGGTGTAGGAGTAGGTTGGAAGAAAGTTAGGAGTGGCCAAACCAAAACACGGCAGAAATCCATGAAGGCACTGACAAGTGGACTGAGTCCTGCCGACAGATATAGACTACCTGGTTGAAGTTATGCGTTTTTGTAACTGACTGACTAACTCACAGAACTGTGTTGTTTAATGGAAATGCTCCTAAGCATCTGCTTTAGTTTCAATTGTAACCAATAACACCCTGAGAGCAATGTAACCACGTTCAGAGACATGCTCCATAACACCAACTGAGGAATAACACTAGTCAAATTCTAATTATTTTGAGCGATATTTTTAGTTTGCAAAATAGAAATTATGATTTAATAGTTTTAGTTGTGATAGATATGAGACATATTTTAACTGTAAGAGCTATTGATGCTACCTGGTTCCTGTAACCAGACTATGAATAACGGGCTTCAAATATGGAGACTTAGTGGTCGAAAAATAAATGTCTTACGCATTGAAAAATCACAAATTAATACTTTTGCAATTAAGAAGGCAAGCTAGTTAAGTGTTTGAATTAGTTTTTCTGGTTACCGTTTTTTTGGCAAGTTGAACAATATCTAGAACTCCAAACAAATACCCACCAACACCCAAATCAGAATTTTCAATACAAATGTGAAGACAGTACTACTGTATGGAGCGGAAAACTTGGAAAACTACCAAAGCCATCATCCAGAACATGCAAGTGTTTATGAACAGTTGTCTTCGCAAAATACTTCGGATTCGTTGGCCAGACACGATCAACAACAACGTACTGTGGGAGAGAACAAACCAGATTCCAGTGGAGGAGGAAATCAGGAAGAAGCGGTGGAAGTGGATAGGACACACACTACGAAAATCACCTAACTGCATCACGAGATAAGCCCTCACATGGAACCCTCAAGGCAAAAGGAAAAGAGAAAGGCCAAGGAATACATTACGCCGAGAAATAGAGAAAGATATGAGAGGAATGAACAAACATTGGACAGAACTGGAGAGGGAAGCCCAGGACAGAGTCGGTTGGAGAAAACTGGTGGGCGACCTATGCTCTATTGGGGGTAACAGGCGTAAGTAAGTAAGTAAGCTAGTTAAATGTTCGTAAAATAAATCATATACCTTTGGCAAGAGCTGAAATAAGTGCATTATACGTAAATTGATTCAGTAGAATATTTTTCTCTGTTATACGACGCCAAAAAGAATGCACTCTATGAACTGCCGGTCCACCAAATTCTTCTGGTAACATGTCTAATGTTAACACTTTCTGAAGAGCTAGCCTAATTAGAAAAATAAAAAATATATATACAGTTGTAAAGAAATGGAATAGGTCACTTGTTTATTGAACACGCAGTGGTTGATTTTAACACAGAAATCTTAATAAAAATCAAATCTTATGCGATAGGAGTACGTAAACAAAGAACCTAAACAGTGATATTGTGGTGTACGCTACTTATGTTCACATAAGTAGTATATGATACCAAACGGAAATAATAAAAAACATTTATTATTCCTGTCACCAGTAACTCGCATTGCGGCAATCTCACGCTGCAGCTCATCAATCTTCTTCTCGAGATCATTTTTCTCCGGACTCGCGCACGCCACCGAAGCTACTGTTCGCGTCATTTGCTGTCGAGTCACTTTCGCCAATTCATTTATACGCATCGGATGTGCGGCGTTGACCAACTTCAGCTGCTGGGAAATGGCGTCCGGAACGCTCTCGATAAACTGCGATGCCAACAGCTGAGCTTCAGATTCCTTATCCAAACTCGGCATCGCGCGATGTAACAGCTTGGTAAACTCGACTGCCAACACCAGTGGGTCTCCGTCCACCGACAACTTCACCGTCCTGAACTTCTGAAGTGCCTCCTCCCTATCCACTGGGCTGTCAAACTCCGCGACAAGCCGATCCGTGACCGCCTTCCATGTCCTCACCTTGCCATCCAGGCTGTCATACACAGCCTTCGCTCGGCCGCGGAGCAGCAATCCTAAAACCACCGTCTTCTCCTGCTTCCATCCGGCTAGCTCCGCCACGGCCTCGAACTCCTTCAGGAAGGCCACATCCCCATCCTCGAACTCCCTCGGTCACAGTATCTTCATCCTGGCAGCGACACCAAATTTTGTGCACGAAAACTCAGGTGAGGACATCAACATCTATAAATAATTAAGCGAATATTACACAGTTGTACAAAACCTTCCCGTGAAATCATCATTTTCAAACTAATCCTTATTTGTTTCAGACTTCAGTTCACTTTAAGTTACCTACAAATCGCCTTCTGTTCTCATTCTTTTCTTCTCGATCTTTTTTGCTATCAGACGTTTGATTTCTGTTTGATATCATATACTACTTATGTGAACATAAGTAGCGTACACTACACTATAACAGTTATAGCAAGCATATCATCAAACATTTGATTTAATCATAATCAAGATTTGAAATCGTATACCATGCATGCATATAAAACAAAAGATGTGTTTGTTTAACTGAACTGTATCATATGACATATAGTACAAATCAATAAATAAATATTCAAGCAGATGGACAGTTTGACATAACTTCTTCTATTTGATTGAATACAACTACTTGTTAGCAATTATTGGAAATTCATAGAAATCTCTGTTTTAGCCACACACACACACACACACACACACACACACAAAAGAAGCTAAAACATTGTAGTCAGAAATACATTGAACCCACAACTCGTACATTGAAAGAGATTGTGACTTTGAATAGATATGATTCACATAATATCCTGAATGACATGGCTCAAAATGGTTTACGATGGCGAAGGTGCATCCATTCTTCATGTTCACTCAATTCCTAAACTTTTTAATTCCTCATCACTTTATCTTTTTCTTTTTAAGTTTATTTCACTAGATTCTACTTCTTGAATAATATCCCTGAACCCTAAAATCTCCGATTACTGCTAATACCTTTACCACTTCTACTACTATGGGATTTCCCGACCGTGGCTGCTACCTTGACGTGGTGGTCGGGCTTGCCTATCGTGATGACCCAACCGAGCTATACTGGCTGGAACATATGTTCCTCAAGGTTCTACCATGCCAGGCAGGTCGATTGGAGAACGATCAGACTAAAAGCAGCTACCCAAGGTCTGGGGGCGAAGTCGTACTGCTGACTGCAGAGGGGTGTGACAGCAGTAAGGTGTTTCCCTCGGACAACCAGCATCTGCAGCGATGCTGCCTTCTTTCTCACAAGGAAGGAAGGGTTAGAAAAGGTTGGCCCTAAAAATGTCACACCTCCCCTAACTCACGGATTTCCGTCTCCTTGGGTAAGGGTGCCCATTAAGGGCCTTTAAGAACGGAGCTAATCCTCAAACAATGTTTCATAAAAAGGCCGTGCGTGACCGGCCTCAAGCAGTTGTCCCTTGGACTCTGCGGTCACGCACCAACACTAATCCATCTTCCTTTTCAGGTTCGTCAAGAAACAACCTTCCACGGTGTGGGCAGCCGGGGAGTGATAACCGCCCTCATACCCGCAACAGCACACGAGACAAAATTGTTCAAAATCAAATCCTTCCTACATTCCCTAATACCTCTCTTATCTCCACAACTAACTCTTCTCACATTCATTTATTACAGTGCACAGCTAATGCAAACGATGCGAGTTTGCGAAACGTCGTTCCTGGTCTCCTTAAACCCCGTTCCAAACTACATGTTGGAGCATTCAATGAACGGACATTGTGTCGAATAGGGTAACAGGCTTCATTAGCTAGGACTTTAGAATCTCGTTCCATCGATGTGTGCTGCGTCTCGGAAACGCGCATACAGGATCCGAGTAGCATCACTCATTTGACCTCACCATGTCAAGATAAAGAAGCAGCTCGATTTACCCTTCGTGTATCCGGTAGCCCTGATGCTGCTTCTAGGGGCCTCGCCGGTGTAGGTATAGCATTGAGTCGTAGGGCAGAACAATCTCTCCTTGACTGGATCCCTGTAGATAGTCGCTTGTGCGCCGTCCGACTGAACGGGACAGTAAGGACTCGGAAAGATAGGGACACTCGTCGTTGCCTCTTCGTCATATCAGCCTACGCCCCCACTGACTGCAGCCCAGATGATGTGAAAGATGAGTTTTACAGAAAGCTTTCGGACCTCCTCCAAAAAGTTAAGCGCTCTGATATAGTTATAATGGCTGGTGACTTCAATGCACAAGTAGGTAGACTGATCTAGAATATGCCGATGACATAGTTCTATTCGGTGAAGACGCTGACAAAATGCAGAGTCTTCTGACTACCATAAGCAACAATGCGAGCATGTTCGGGATGCGGTTTTCCCCCTCGAAATGCAAAATGTTGCTTCAAGACTGGGTTGCTTCGGCACCTGAACTAGTGATAGAGAGTGAAGTAGTCGAGCGTGTAGATCACTTCACTTATCTGGGGAGTCTCATCAGTGCTGACGGTCTGGTGACTGATGAAATCTCAGCTCGGATCCAGAAAGCTCGATTGGCTTTTGCCAACCTGCGTCACTTATGGCGTAGGCGTGATATCCGTTCGCTAACCAAAGGGCGGGTGTACTGCGCAGCAGTTCGTTCCGTTCTCTTATATGGCTGTGAAACATGGCCGTTAAGAGTAGAAGATGTTCGTAGGTTACTAGTATTCGATCATAGATGTTTAAGAAGCATTGCTCGTATATCGTGGGACAGCCGAGTAAGCAATGCTGTCGTTAGGAAACGAGTACTAGGTAAGGATGGCAGATCAATCGATGAAGTGGTGAAACTTCATCGGTTGAGGTGGTTGGGACATGTGTTACCTATGCCTAACTACCGACTGCCTCGACGAGCTATGTTTTGTGGTGTAGGAGTAGGTTGGAAGAAAGTTAGGGGCGGCCAAATCAAGACATGGCAGAAATGCATGAAGTCACTGACAAGTGGACTGAGTCATGTTGGTAGATGTAGACTACCTGGTTGGGGTCCGCGAGACGAAAGTCATCAATGGTTAGAGACCTTGAATGACATGGCTCAAAATCGTTTGCAATGGCGCAGGTGCATCCACTCTTTGAGCTCTCTCAAATCCTAATCTTCTGGATTAGCCAGCACCCCTACCTTTGTCTTTCTAACCTTATCTCACTGAATTATATCTTTTGAATAATATCTTAAACCCTAGTCTTCTTTATTATAACATTAATACCTCTACCATCTTTATCACTATGGGGTTTGATTTGACATTTGCGTCTCTGTGCTAATAATGTGGTATGGCAACATGAACTTATGTACATACGTACGAAGTTCTACGTTGCAACTGACTGACTGACTATGGGATTTGAAGTGACGGTTGCATCTTTGTGCTAATATGGTATGGCAACATGAACTTATGTACGTACAAAGTTCTACGTTACTATTGACTGATTGATTCACATAATAGCTGCAAAACATACTTTTCCCTTAGGTTAAAATGGATATCGTATCGGATTGCAGCACAATGATTCCGGGATGGAAAAACAAATCCATCTTAGATCCATTGGAGAAATGGAACGTTGCAATAATCCCGAGAGATTATTCAAAAAAACATTCATATTTCTACATCTTTGTTTTTTCAAACATAACTGTCGATTGTAATTTCATTGAAGAATCCTCAAAATCCTCGAGTCCGAGAATGATTGATTGATGATTTCAAATGTGTAAAAGCACTAATCTGCATAACTCGAATTGAAAATATCGTAATACGTGCTCACTAGTGACTAGCTTCGTGGGAAAATTCTCGGAGTTCTAGTTGAGAAGACGTGACCAGTGGAGTTCAACCCTGTCGGGTGTAGGCAGTAACTACCAAAGACAAATGGGTGAGGTCGCGCAAAATCCCTTGACCAATCAGAGTTAGACATTAACACCGTTGGATGCCGCCGGCCAAGTGGTCCAGAGGTTAGACGTTCGCGCATAAGACCGAAGGTCCCGGTTTCGTCGTGGATGTGCACTGCTGATGAGTCCCATAGTAGGACGAAACGGCCGTCCAGTGCTTCCAGGTTTCTAACGGTGGTCTAACAATGATTGATTGATGATAACATAATGCGTCAACCAAATGCTTCCTATGAATATTGTTTCAAATATTTTGATTGTTTTGCACTTTTACAATTTACATTCTTAAATTTACATGTTTAGAGTTTATATCTACTGAAAATGAACATTATTTTTCCCTCATGGGTTAATTATTTTACATTTTAGTGTTGTTACAAAAGAGTTGTGTAGTAACACTGCTTTATTTACATGAAAGTAAGTTCTCCTTTGTAAAGGAAAGACTAGTCTCATTCGTCGTATTATTCATGATCGGCGGTTATGAACAAATGCAGAATAGCTGGTACTCATAAACAAGTGTTGTATCCTAGTTTATGGTTAGTCTAAATCCAAGTTACAACAACAAAAACCATACTAACAAGTTTCCTGACAACTTTACTTAATTGATTGGCTTATTTCCTAATATGTGGAAATTCAATTCAGTAATGTACAAAACCAAGAGGAAAGATATACATTATTGAACTGGATTAAGTCATGTTGGTAGGTGTCGACTACCTTGGTTGAGGCCAGCGAGATGATAGTAATCGACGGTTAGATAGCCTGAATGATATGGTTCAAAACCGTTCACAATGGTGTAGGTGCATCCGCTCTTTGTATCATCTCAAATCCTAACCTTCTGAATTTCTTATGGCCTTTATCTTTTTTCCTCTAAGTTTATTTCACTAGACAGTCGATCAGCAACAACGTAGAACTTCGTACGTGCATATATCTGTTTAAGTTGCCAATAACACATTAGCACAGGAACGCGATTGTCAATTCCAGTACCCCCATAGTAGTAGAGGTAATAAAAGTATTAGCAGTAATCGGAGAGATTAGGATTCGAAGATATTATTTAAGCAGTAGAGTCTAGTGAAACTTAAAAAGAAAAAGATAAAAGTGATGAAGAACTCCGAAAGTTAAGATTCGAGAGAACACAAAGAATACCCATAAAAGCACACGAGACCGAATCGGTCAGAATCAAATCCTTTCTACACTTCCTATTAATCCTCGCTAGATTCTACTTCTTGAATCACATATCCTCGAACCCTAATCTCTCCGATAACTGCTAATACTTCTACTACCTCTACTACTAAGAGGGTATTTGAATTGACAATGGTGTACGTAAGTACATCAGTTCATGTCGCCATACCACATCAGCACAGAGACACCATTGTCAATTCAAATCCAATAATAAAAGAGGTAGTAAAGGTATTAGAAGTAATCGGAGAGGTTAGAATTAGAAGATATTATTCACGAAGTATGATTCAATGAGATAAGTTTAGAAAGTAAAAACTAGAGGTGTTGAAGAACTCAGAAGATTAGGATTTGAGAGAACACAAAGAATAAATGCACCGGCGCCATTGCGAACGATTTTGAGCCATGTTATTTAAGGTCTCTAGCCATCGATTATTATCATCTCGCGGACCCCAACCAGGTAGTCGACAATTACCGACATGGCTAAGTCCACTCGTCAATGACTTCATGGATTTTTGCCATGTTTTGTTTTTGGCCGCCCCTAAATTTCTTCCAACCTATTCCTACACTACAAAACAAAGCTCGACGAGGCAGTCGCTGGTTAGGCATACGCAACACGTGTCCCAACCACCTCAACTGATGAAGTTTCAATACTTCATCGATTGATCTGCCATTCTTACCTAGTACCCGTTTCCTAATAACAGCGTTGCTCACTCGGGTGTCCCACGATGTACGAGCAATGCTTCGAAGACATCTATGATCGAAAACCAATAACCGATGAGTATCTTCTACTCTCATTGGCCATGTTTCACAGCCAAAATGTAAGACGGAGCGAACCACTGCGCAGTACACCCGTCCTTTAGTCAGCAAACGGATATCTCGCCTACGCCATAAGTGACGCAGGTTTGCAAAAGTCATTCGAGCTTTCTGTATCCGTGCTAAGATTTCGTCAGTCACCAGGCCATCAGCACTGATGAGACTGTCGAGATAAGTGAAGCGGTCTACACATTCGACTACTTTACTCCCTATCAGACTGACTGACTGACTGACTGACATTATTGAACATAAATAATTTCAACGACTGAAATATTATTTTTTTAATATAAGAAAATAAAAAGGTTATTTATACATCATTATGATTCTGATAAAAATACACAACTTACTTTTTACGCTGTACTAATGATAAATCATTTCCAATATGATGTAAAATAGGCGGAATATTTATTTTATTATTTCGAAACCATGTTGCAATATCTTCGGCACAAGCGCTAAACAATTTAATTAATTATAATCACACATATGAACAAATTCAGACAAAAAAATACATTACAAGTACACTCATTTTTTTTTCTCTACTGATTTAATGAAATCTACAATAGATGAGTTGTTCTTTTTTTTTACAAAACTAACTATACGACAAAGCCTTCAAGATTCATATTTTCAACACTGGAAACATTACCTTTTCAAGTATATGTATAGTAAAAATGCAAGAAAATACTATTGGCTGTAATTAAAAGTTTAGGCGGGGAGATAACTTAAAAAGTACATATTTACATACTCAGTTTTAAGTCATACTGTTTGTGTGAGAACTGGTGACAGTATATATATATGTACAAAGGTAAGTAGGTGCTACGACATTTCGAATCCGAATCAATTACACTAACTGTATATAGTCAGCAGTAAGTATTAATATTCTTCTCTAATGGATAATACTCAAGACCGGAATAAGAAAGATCAATTTTCGTAAGAGACTCTTGAACGCATCCCTTGAAAATCATTACATGTAACACTCGGCTATTCCAGGTAGTACCTGACGCAGAAGTTCAAGTACCAACAGACACTGACTTATTCCCTCACCGACCAGAGCCGCTACCTTGACGTGGTGGTTGGGCTTGCCTATTGTGATGACCAAACCGAGCTATACTGGCTGGAACATATGTTCCTGCAGGTCCTACCATGCCAGGCAGGTCGAATGGAGAACAATGAGACTAAAAGCAGCTACTCAAGGTCTGAGAGCGAAGTCCTACTGCTGACTGCAGAGGGGTGTGATAACAGTAAGGTGTTTCCCTCGGACAACCAGCATCTGCAGCGATGCTAACTTCTCTCAACGGAAGGAGGGGTTGGAAAAGGTCGACCCTAAAAATATCACACCTAACTTTATCTGACGGATTTCCGTATAAGGCAGTAAGGGCTTTAAAAGAGCGGAATTAATACTCAAAAAACCTTTCGTAAAAAGGCCGTGCGTGATTGGCCTCAAGCAGTTGTCCCTTGGACTCTGCGGTCACGCACCCATGTCTCTAAGACCAATGCTAATATACCTTCCTTTTCAGGTTCCTCTAGAAACAACCTTCCACGGTGTGGGCAGCCGTGAAGTGACAACCGCCCTCATACCCGTAACAGCACACGAGAGCAAATTGCTCGAAATCAAATCCTTCCTGCACCAACACACACCTCTCTTATCTCCACGACTGACTTATTCCCTCATGCACGTCAAAACCCCCTTAAGTAAGGGAAAATTTTTTAGGACTATCTATCCTAGTCAATAAACATTCCTGGTATTAGGTTCGAGCTATTTGTTGGGAAATGAGCACTAAACAATATAAGTACATTCAATTGATAATCCCTACATAGAATTGCACACATATGATTGAGATTATATCGTTAATCGTAATTCAAAACAGTAACTCAAAAGGAAAATACGATATTCATCTTTACCAATATTGAAATGATCGCTTCAACTTTAGCTGAGGAAAATAAGTTTTATAAACACTTCTTGTTGAAATAGAGATTATGTTTATGAGAAAGTCTGACCAACAAAACATCTAGACTTCCTGTATGTATGTTTCCTTCACATAAAACTACACTGATCATCATTTGTTAGTAAAAATAAAATAGTCAAACATTGGAATTCACATACTAAGCAATGACGCGCTATTTAGTTAATTTCATCAAGGTGAATCAAAATTCCAACAACACAATTAGAAAGTGATTCCATCGATCGATGAGACACAATCGAAGATATCCAGATATTTCAATGAAGAACTTGTCTAAATTGGACAGAAAACTATTGTCCTGGAGGGAACGGTGTTTTATTCAATCCTGATGTATCAAATTTAAACTAGTATTTCCAAAGTCATATTTTAAGTACCACAAGTGTACTACTAAGGCATAAAGGTGATTTTACGCAAGTATTGGTAAAAATGTTTCGCATGAAAAACTCCCAAACTGATATTAGCTAGACAGAATTCTCGATCGCCAGACTAAACGCTTCACAGTTAGACAACACGAGAATATCAAATGAGACAGAATTTGGTGATTGAAGAGTATGGTTTAAGAGGTAGTGAACTCTTTACTAACGGAATGCTCAGTTTTATTTAGCTTTATCGCCAATGATGATATTAATATTATTATTATTATTATTATAGTTGTTTCAATGTAGTTCCTCTCCTTACTTTCTTAAAATTTCAAGTGTCACAACATGAAATGAAACAATGACTAGAAGCTAATTTCAACAAAGTGTTTTACGTAGTTATCAGTTTTCCTTATAAAACAAACCAACTGTATACACATTTATATTTAATAGGAATTTTTTAAAACTAACCGAAGTAAATATGAATAAGTTGCCTGAGTTGCAGAGATACCCAATTCAATCATCTTTCTATATACACGAAATGCATTTTCACTATCTCCAACCATGGCCAAACCATTCATAAGTACATGAACATGAAATCTCGATGGTAGAACACGATCTTTCTCTAACATGTCAGAGAAAAATACCTAAACAAAACATTTGAATCCGGATGTAAAACACGTCTACGGAAAAATGCACAGATGTGAAATAGCAAAATAAAAAGCAGACAGACAGATACAATGCAGAACTTCGTACGGAAGTACATCAGTTTAGGTTGCCATACCACATCAGAACACAGACGGTACTGTCAGTTTAAATCCAAGAGTGATAGCGATAGTAGAAGTATTAGCAGCAATGCAGAAGATTAGGGAGCGAAGATATGATTCAAAAAGTATAATAATTCAGTGAGATAAATTTAGAAGAAGAAAGATAGAGATTATGAGGAATTCAGAAGGTTACAATTAAAAAGCACACAAAGAGAGTGGATGCACCTGCGCCATTGCAAAACGATTCTGAGCCATGTCGTTCAATGTTTCTAACCATTGGTGACTTTCGTCTCACGGACCCCAACCAAATAGCCTACATCTACCAACATGACTCAGTCCACTTGTCAGTGACTTCATGCATTTCTGCCATGTCTTGATTTGGCCGCCCCTAACTTTCTTCCAACCTACTCCTACACCACAAAACATAGCTCATCGAGGCAGTCGGTTGTTGGGTATTCATGACACATATCCCAACCACCCCAACTGATGACGTTTCACTACTTCATCTATTGATTTGCCATCCCTACCTAGAACTCGTTTCATAACGACAGCATTGCTGACTCGGTTGTCCTACGATATACGAGCAATGCTTCGGAGACACCTATGATCGAAAACCAGTAACCTACGAATATCTTCTACTCTCACTGGCCATGTTTCGCATCCATATAGGAGAACGGAGCGAACTGCCGCGTAGTTTTGGGAAAAGTATAACAATTCCAATGACAGAGCACAATACAATAATAGCAAAGAGAATGTGAAAAGGATAAACTCTTACCGATAATGCTGAGTTTGTATCACCTGTTGCACAATAACGCCTTATTAAATCAGAGTAATGTTCCGGAGGATGACGACGATAAATTTTGCTTAGTCTTAAACAATCAGCAGGATCTTCTTCAAATTCATCAGTACTTACAAGTTCATCGATGACAGATTTTTTTTCTACCACATCCATGGATCGAGGAATAAGTGATTCATGATACGGTTGTCGATCTAAATTATCTACTTAAAAGGAAATTGCAAAGAAAGAACACATTTTAAAGAGAATTAGCAACAGTTCCTATTTGAATATCATACTCCAGCCTTGTTGATAGGACTGAACAGCCCTAGCGATCGGAATGATATGCTAGACAGTTCATATATGCATTCTACGCAAACAAGTGTTTTTATTACTGCATTTCCGTCTATTGGAATATGCATTGTTTTCTTCTTATTTCTTGCCCCAAACTAGGAAATATTAAGTCAGTCAGTCAGTTACAATGTAGAACTTCGTACGTATGTTCATGTTGCCAAACAACATTAGCACAGAGACGCAACTGTCAGTAGGAGGAAACAACTTCATACGCCTTTAACCAGTGTGCTTTTAGGCATCATCAGTTCGGAATCAAGCTTTCTGAATTTCTCAAAGTGGACGCTTTGTATCCACCGTTTAGTAAAGTCACTTAGTACATAAATGACAGTAGGACAAATTTAAACCGAAGTCTTATCGAGTAGATCATAAAGGGTTCAAGCTCGTCTCTAAACAATTCAATTGTCTGTACCAATAAGTTACATGTTAACTTATCTAAAAACAAACAATATCATCGTAGGAATAATATCCGTAGTATTCTCATTAAATATCACAAACGACGAACATTCAACCACCCACCCGCACTAAGAGCACCGAAATCCAACTGATCATCTTCCGAAATGATGTTAATTTTCTGTTCTGATTCACACTTTTCCAGGTTATTTGTGTATAACGATTCTCCAGGTTCTTGTGGCTTTATATATTTGTGAATTTTGGCTTTTTGGTTAATCACCTCCACAAGATCATGAGTAGATAATTTGGTCTTGTAGTGTGATTGAGAACGCCTCCACGACAAAATACTGCCTGAAACGATAGGTTGAATTCTACGATGATAAAGCTTAAATGCAGTTAGGAGTTTAAATAAAAGCATACCGGTAATTCCATAAGACTACAAAGTCTGGTGCAGATAGTCATGACGCTGAAATTACTGGATACCAAAGAAGAAATTAATTGATAACTTGATGCATATGGTATAGTAATTAAAAACAATAAAACTTAAGAATACTTAATGCAGCTAACTAACACAAAAACTATGTGAAAATGCAACAGGTGCGCTTGTCGATTAGTCTTTTATCTCCCAGTTATCTTGATAAATAAAAAGTCAAAAACCACCGATAATGTAAAAAATATCCTCTTCATAGCGATAAGCTCCATATAATATTTTCCTCTGATAAGCGTCCCACCAAGCAGCGATTCAGCAAACCAAACCCAGACTTCAAAACATACAAATACATAGTTCGTCTTATGAAGTTGAAGCTATCAATTCACTAACACGACAAGCGGTCACACAACCTACATAATTTTGGTTTCTGCGCAATGATTTTCCAAGCTAATGGCTAACAATATACTGGAACTAGTTCAGATTTCACTTTGATTGAAAATTTAATACTGAGTGTTTTAGCAGATATAACTAGACCGACGTTTAATCAACATAAGTGTAACGCATTAAAAATCTAACTCTAACAACTAGTTTCAATTCTTTATATCTGGATGCTGTCTATCCATTTTACCACTAAATGTAAGTGGGTTCTGTGTACTTACTGAAACGTCAGCTCACCTTACACACTGCTCTACAGATACCCACTACACACAATGTAACTCCTAGCTAAACGCAATCTAACCCAAGACTGAAGTTACATAATTAATTATCTACTCACAGGAGTTGAGCTTCTAGAAAGCTCGTGGCGGTGACACAACTACACCTATTATTCATCGCCCTTAGTACATACTTATCGTTCGAACACATTATTTAAGAAATATGTATATACTTCGACTTTTCGGGTTATCCATGCAGGAAAGCTCTGTATCCTGCTCAAACAATCCCCTCTTTAAATAAAAATAAGATAATCGAGAAAACCATATAGACATCCTAAAGTACACACAAACGACTTACTAAACACGTTGCCCCGAAAAATCTGGTGCCGTCGCAACTAATTATCCCACCTTCTCAATATTCAATACCGTTTTCTTGAGCTAGTATAAAGCGGTTGATTTCTTTGCGCTCGATTCTTGTTCTTTCGGTACGGTTCCAGGTGTTTGGTGGTGTCTAATGAATGGCAGTCTAGCCGCTCAACTGCAATAATTCTAGTCAGTTCGAAGTTGTTTGTGAGTTTGTATGTCCCATGATTTGAATAAGTGTGTTTGTTATAGGGGAGTAGGGTTTCTGGATACAAGCAGCTGTCACGTTACCAGGTCGGAGATTAGTTAGTTAAAATGTTGCGAATATTAAGGAGAATTCTCTAATGCTTAAGGTTCCAGAGCGAAGTAAATAAATATATAATTTAGTTAATTAATTGGTAGTGAAGATTGTGCGAGAGGACTTACGTGCAAGCGAAGAAGAAGCAGAGATAATAAGTGAGATAGATTAATTTATTGATCTGGGGAAACGGCATTAATACCAACTAGCAGGTCTCAAGACATGCATCAAGCACAGCTGGTCCACAAAGGAGATGATAATCCGTGTATGAGCAAGTGTTTATCAAGTCTCTTCTTAAAGCTATCCACTGAGGGTACTGTGGCCACCTCTGCTGTGAGAGCATCCCAAGTATCAGTAACTCTTAATGACAAAGCGTGCACGAACCTGGTGTTTATGCTTTCTGTGGATATTGGACCTCACTCTGAGGAGACATTACGGAACGGACTTCCATTGAGAATGTAAGTTTTTTGCGTCATATGGTGCAGAATGATCATGATGTGATATCCCAACTGGTTAAGTTTGAACCCATTGTCTACTGCTCATTCCTCAGTTGCTGTAAGGTCCCTTTGAAACTCAGAAGAATCCTCTTCCCTTAAAGTGGACCTCCAGATCTTTGCATGGTCTACGTAGATTAGCGCCGTTGAGCTGATTTTATCTAACAGGTTAACTATAAACAATGGGGAGAGGAGTGAACATGAGATGATTCTCTGTGAAAATTCACATGCTGAGAGTCGCCAGCTAGCATGCACTTTATTTACCTCATATTCTCAAGGCCGTTTTCGAGCCAAGATAGAAGTGGATCAGTGAAGCTCATCTACGCAACCCTTGCAATAAGAGGTACTTAAGCTACCGTGTCGAAAGCTCTTGTGAAATCAAGAAATAGTATTTGAATCGCTATTTTTCGTTCGTAGCAGGCTGTCTAACTGTCCCACGCTATGAGAAGATTGGATGCTAATGACTTGCCTTTACGAAACCTGTGTTCAGCTTCATGGAAGATGTTCTTCTTACCCATATATTCCCTCGTCCGTTCGTTTACTAGCCTTTCCATTACCTTCGATAGTATTGGTATTAATGTGACTGGTGTGTAACAGGGTTGGTCCTTCCTACCTCCTCCTTTGAAGATCGGAGCGTGAGTAGCTTGCTTCCATTCAGCTGGTGTGACTCTAATGAATGTCTGAACAGGTCATATGCTGATGAAATGAGGGCCTCTGCACACTGTTTCAAGGATGTAGGGAGAACAATGCCACATCGTGGTGACTTTACAGGGCGCAAGGGTTTTAGTTTTTGTAGTACTGAGTCAGGAGTACTACATTCGTGTTGAGTTAATATGTCCAAGCCTTCGTTTGTTTTTGTCCAGTCTCAAGCTAGGTTGTAGGCTAAGGGACTTTGAACATAGACAAAATTTGAAGAGTCGCTTTCACAAGAAAATCTAGTAACGAAAAGGACAAGAGTGAGTTCACCAACAACTCGATAAGCATATAGGATACACTCTTATTTAACAATGAAACTGATGGATAGTTATCAGTCGTAACACACGTTCAAATGGTCCAAATGCTTGTAAACGGAATAGAAAAAGCTTTATTAACAGGCTTCCGTATTTAATAGCAACTGTAAAAGAGAACCATGGTTTGACTACATGTCGACAATAGGTGCATCTGAAGTCCATTTTACAATATTATGTCTTTAGTTTATGTGTATTTCCCCAAATCATTGTGTTGAAACAGAACTTAAGTAAGTCTCTAGGTTACGATAAGGTAATCTGTGAAGCATCCATAATCTAACAGGTGAAGATCCATTGAATGTAGGCTTTCTTCATGAAGCTTAAAGTTGAACAGTTTTAATGGCTCGCAACCGGATAAATTCCAATTTACGGAAGTAAATACCATACTTTCATACTCTAAATCGGGTGGAATAAAGATATTAAAGAATAGGTACAACTCTCGACTTTCAAATGACCAAACAAAAGGAGCACAATAAAGCAGTTATTGTTACAATTGTATACAATAATAAATGTTTCCATTTCATCAATTGCATGCTTTTCATAGTGGCATTCCCTTTAGTCTTAAAAGAGGGCGAGTAGTCTGATTCATTAGAAATACTCTCCCCTTTATCGTTGTTCACAGCATCCCATGAAAGTGGGGTGTGTGAATTAGTTATGTATAGCTGAAAATGTAAATGAAGAGAGCTGATGATTGGCTTCGCTTATGGCAGCTCGAACTATGAGGTGAATGAGATCTAGCTAGATAGATTCCAGTGATCGTTCTTCAGCTCCAGAAGTCTGTAGTGGTATACTTCTTGCGAAGAAAACACGGTTGCTATAATACAAACACTTATTATTGTACTTAATTCTGACACTGATTGTTATGCTATACTCCTTTTGTTGATCTGTACTAAAGACTATCTCGCGCGCGCCAAGCCAGTGATTCCCATTCGGCATCTCCGCGTTTCTCCTACCTGGTCGTTAGCCGATTGTATGCCTTCTAGCCTGGATATGATTTTGATATCACGAGGCTAGCGATAAATATACTTCTTCATCTAGAATCGTCTTTTCTTTGACTTCTTGATTAACTGGATTAACATTTCTTATCCCGCGAAGTTGTATTTTATTCCAATTCGCTATGTCTTAATACATCTACGGTAGAATGGAAAAGTTTAGGACCTGAATAGTCGGGAATTTCCTTCGAACAGAATCTTGTTGATGTGGCTATTACAGTTTCCCGAGTCATCCTTATCAGATCTCTTACTGACCGATTATAAGAATGACTTTTCAAACCCGGATTCTATAACATCTTTCGGTGTTTGATTTCCATATTTTTTTCATCAACGGTGTGTGGGCTCAAGTCAGGTCAAATATTTGGAGGATTAATATACAAAGAATCATTCACTCAGCAGCCTCGTGAGACTGAGGAGTAAGATTAGAATCCCTCGCTGAAATAGCTTTGTAGGTTTTCAGAAACTTGCATATTAAAATTACAACACCACCCTTTCTTTGGACTGGAAAAAGGAATTCAAGATTTTCCACATCATGCCTCAGTAAGAAGGTTGGCTCCTTTCTGCTTAAGAGAAGAATAATGTGTAAGCGATTCGCGACACTCGACGCTGATGAGACAGTATGTCAGTATAGAAAGCCCGAAATATTTTTGTTTCAACTCTTTACAAGTCTACAAGATTTACTGAAGAAGAACTACTTAATGAGTTCATAGAATCTAAGGTGACGTTTATATTCGCAAATAATCCAAAAGACTAAGAGAAGTGGTAACATACTATGATTATGTGGAGATGGAAGTGATGGATCAACAATAATTATCATTGTTAATTCTCAGATAACAATGACCAAGTGAGTAGAGGTGATTCAAAAGATCTGAATTGTTAACAATTATGTAGATCTGTATTATGTGTTAAGGAAGGCACAATGATTCGATGCATTTGTGATATTCTATTTGTTGCAATAAATGTGGTAGCATTTATGACAACTTGATCTAGCCTGTAATCTGGCTTACTTCTTGTAACATACTTTTATCTAATAATAAATATATTATTATCACCATTTCATAAGAAGTTACGAGTGAACTTCTTTTCAGCATTATTATTCCTCAGATCATTTTGCAGTATGGTTTCCTGTGGTTGGGGAAGGGTTGAAAAATAATTCTGGAAAGTTTGTCAGCGTATTTTTA